GCTGCGGACGCCGGTGGGCGTGCTGAACTTCCCGATCATCCAGGAGCGGGTGGAGGGCGTGGTGGTGGTGTCCGACGAGGTGCGCGGGCTGTCCGTCGCGTGCGTGCCGGTCGCTGAACGTCCGTGCAGGAGATTGTGGAGGCCATGCGGCTGATGTGGGAGCGGCTCAAGATGGTGGTCGAGCCCAGCGGCGCGACGGCGTTCGCGGCTGTCAGGAGTGCGGCTTTTCAGAAGCTGGGAATCAAGGGGCCCATCGGCATTATCGTGAGCGGTGGGAACCTCGACCTGTCGCAGCCGCTCCCTTGGAGCAAGTGAAGTACGGTACGGTACGCTTGGCGCGTTCTGATGCGCTGACCGCAGTTGGCGGAGGCCAGTTGTATCTGTACGCGGCGACGTCTAGGAATATCTGGGGATACTTTCTAGCGGGGATTCTTTCGTACCCCGGTTCCCCTTTTCCACTCCGGTTCATGTTCGCACCTAGAATATGTCAAACAGTCTTCACTGGATAACTCTAGACTAGAATGTGGCCGGCAAGTGTGGAATTGGCATCAGCGCGCCTTGTGGGGTTGTGTGTGTGTGTGTCCTTTGCAGCTTCCCTGTAGTGCTCAAGTCGATAGATTGCACACGTATCAGGGCAGTATTTGTGTTTTTTCAGCCTGCCATTTGCAAATGCTTCAAACACAAGTCAAGAGGATGGAGGCGTTCGAGAGACATGTCCTGTGAGATGCTCCGATATTGATATACCGATTGAAGTGATACCGCATGTTGAAGGGATGATGGCCAGCGATTGTGTCGTACGCCCGACAGACACTCGGGTCTTGGATACCACGACGCAGGATTGCGCAGCCCCCTTCTCGAGTCTCTCCCGTGCTCGGGGATGGGGATGCCCTCCGCCTGATCGAGTCTAGACGCCGACCAGGTGAACGATCGCGCTGCTGGTGATGACATTACATTTGTATTCCCTCTCACATCGCCTATCGCGATAAAAATACAGGAAAGCCTAGCGGGCGCAGCGCCGCCTCGTGCTCGTGGATGCCCATGCTTCATGAAGGGCTCGCGCTAGTCGCGACATTGCTCTTGTCGGCGCATCCTGACAGATGCCCCTTTCGATGTGGATATATATGCGAGGGCAGGGCGCGGGACTTTCGCTGCGAACGACAAGCCGAGCCTGGAGCGGATGGCGTCTTGCAGGACATAACCATAATCCTCGGTACGAAAAGACGCCAGTCAGTCGCGCGTTCAGCAGGCACACATCCTGCCCGGAAACTCGCCTGGTCCAACGCCCAGGTTAAACAGCCTGCCCTCTCGGCCGTCGCTGCCTTGTACCCAAGGGAGTAGGTCTCATCGTAGCTGTAGGTCCTTGCGACATCGAACAGGAACCGGGCGACGAACTGCCTTGCCTGCAAGTGGCGCGAGGAGACATATGCCATGTCAGCCCGCCAGTGTGTCGCTGCAGGCCTTGCGCACACCGGACACACTCGGGGGGATATCGCGCCCTCGGTGTCTCCATCGGCCTGCATTCCGAAGCGTCCACTGGGACAAAGGCCGCCTGTGCGACGTGCTGCGGAAGCGCGGAGGGCCCGCAGAGGCTGCCCAGGAGAGCATTGGGGCCGGGGCGGTGGACGACGGTGCGCCGAACACGCCATAGCTTGTGGAAGACGGCGGGGACGCGCGTGGTGTGTGCACAGGCCGTCTGAGCCGCGTGAAGGAGGCAAGCGGGTGCGCCGAGTCGGCTGAGGAACACAAGTTGCCGGCCCCAGGCTGCCCCGGGTATACTTATTCCTACGGTTCCAGCTCCCTGAGCAACATTATCAGCATCGTAGCCCGACGCGGCTCGCCGCACCCAGCCAACCCTGTCCGGGGTAATAGCTCAGCGCACGATTGCAGCCTGCACCCAGATACATGTACCATCCAAGCCGTACGTGTTGACCGCACTGGCACGGCGTGGTCATGTTTGCCGATGTGCCAGCCGCTTCCGCCCCAGCCACCTGCGCCGGACGACCCGCAGAGGTTCACCGAGGGGGGGACCGACGGCCGTACACACCGACAGAGGGGACAACCCGCGTCCCGTACCCGCTCCTGCGAGCACTGTTGGCCAATGTTTGCAAGGTAGACCAACGCTGTCCGCATACATCGAGCATAGGCGGCAGCGGAGCACCTCCGGGGACTCCCGCCCGCCAACAGGATGCTGAGCCTCGACAAATCCGACTCCTGCGGGGGATGGGTCTCGTGTGCCCGGTCTGGGCAGTGCGCCGCAGCGATCGGCGCCGCCACCTGCGCAGACAGCGACGCCTGGGACAACGTCGATGGCAGCGCGTCCTCGGGCTTGAAGCCAGTGTTGCGAGTGTGCTACAGTAGGCGCAAGCCACGAAACCGAACTGCCGGGATTCGGGAGTGTTTCCAGGGCGTACGGATGCAGTCTGCCAGCGCAATAACCCAGCTGTAGCCTGAAAGCTGCGGTCGGTGGATCGCGCGATAAACCAAATACGCCAGTATGCAGAACAAGAAAAGAACAAAAAAAAAACACAGGAATTCGGCAGCAAATATATACACGAATCTTAGACACGCACGCATTCTGAGCTTCTGCTGCCCAGCTGGAAATATCCTTGCAGTCGCGTCTCCACTAGTTCGTCTCCATTTCAGATATACTGGACACAACTTAGCATCAGCAAACCCGGAGGTGGGGACCAAAGATACACCCCACGAATCTAGGAGCCCGAGTGACCAGCATGACGCTTGAACCAGACCCAGCGACTTCTGGGTCCTTATACATGACTGTTCTCTGATAGAAAGCGATCTGCTATCCTTCCAACGCCGATTCCACGCGACAAGTGCAAGGGTCTGGGTGACACTTCCGAGACAATACTTCGCTATGAGCATCATGGGAAGGGGTACACTCACCTCTCGGTTGAAATGAAATGTGGCTTTTCATGATTCCTCATAGCAGAACCACGCACTACAAGGACCAGGTCCTCAAGCCTTTGGCGGTAACACCTCAGTGCCGATGTCGAGTGACATACAAAGCTCGTCGGCAAGCAGGTGTTAATTTTGGTCGCTGCAAGAGATGCACAGTAAGCAAACGTATGGCGGTACAGGACCAGCTAAGGACCTACAATGTCGACAATTCGTGTGGGGATGCTGTTCTTTGGGAGTTGCCGACGTGTGCCACTGACTAGCACGCTTCTGTGAGAAGTGAAGGGCAAATGCATGATGATATTGGGAGATGTAGTAGATTGTACAATGAGAAGAGCTGTAAATCAAAACAAATATACACTGACAGTGTCCAATATACGATGGAAAAGGAGCATGAGCGTCAGCGACTATCAAGGGATGACTTGAGTGTCAAGCGCTAGGCAGCATAGTGAATCCATCCACGATTGGTAATATACGGGGAAATAACCTATGGGTCTTAGATCACTTGGAAGATGACCAATGCGCATTCAGCTGCACACAGAGACTCAGGACACAGCAATGCAAGACAGCCTGCCCCAGGAGAGAAAGAAGATTTACGACGTGAAGACGAATACGAGCGGCTACTGGCACTCACACTAAGATTGCGCGACGATACGAACAGAAAGTGAGCGCAGTGGGCCTACAATTTAGTCTTGGGGACCCCAGGCGTCATCTTGATATGAGTGCCAGTCGCGACAAGACGGTGATGAGTGATGTCCCATATCTAGACGCGAACTCGTGAGTCACGCACATACTCAAATTTTGACACGCACCTCGACGCGAGCAGTCACTGCCCGGCTTCCTGCTGACACTGATTCGTTGATGATGTGCAACCTGTCGCCGCTACCAGAGGATAACCTGCGGTCAGTGCGAGATACCAGTACGAATTCACTTGGCTGGACACGCACAGAGTTGCCCCCGCATGGAAGATGGTATTGATAGATTGTGAAACCAATTCGACCGGACCACCCGTTGCAATGCCGAGCAGGCTCAATGCCACGGAGGAGCAGCTGCGGAGATTGCATCAGAGCGTGGTTGCCAGTCGTCGGACGGGCGGAAACCCTCACATGTCGACGAGATAAGTAATGCACCCCCCGTGCAGATTGTTGCGCGAGTTCATCATCCCTATGCGCAGCGTCCAGCGGTCTGCCAGAGGAGCACCCTGAGCGACGGCACGCACCTCGATGCACGTCGACCTGGATTACGACGCGTGCGTGTTTCTTGCCGTCCTCTGGCCTATCGAAGAGAGAGAGCTCGGTGGCCTTGAAATGGCGCATGACATCGTCGCCAAAGTCTATCTCCTGCGTGAAGGAGGCGAGGGCGTACGTGAGCTTGTCCTTGAGCTCCTGAGAGAGGTTGCCGTGGCGGTCGTGGTCGACGATGGACTTCCAGAGCTGGAGCCTCTCAGCGGACATGGACATGTTGGCGAGGGTGGTTTGATGTGGGAGAAAAGCCCATGGCGGTTGGCGGATAATCCATGGCCATCCGCACGTTGCGCGTACCTCCTTGCCGGGCCTTCTAAGCTCCTGCTATATCGGGCCGTCGCAATCTCCCGCCACTCGCAGCCACTCTGACTCTCCGTTACTCACTCTGCTCTCCCCCATCCCCGTCCGCCCCCGTCCTCCAGAGCCCCGCCTGCAAAAATGTTGATTAAAGTCAAGGTGCGCGTGCAAGCTCTCTCTCTCAGCTCTGCATCGCGCACTCACAAACGCGATTGACTGCCAGACGCTCACAGGGAAGGAGGTGAGGCAAATCGCACGATGGGTCCTGCCGTGCAAAACCGTCAGCTAACATGGATCTCCCATAATGTGCCAAGATTGAGCTCGATATCGACCCCGATGACAAGGTGAACGATGAGCGCAACACACTTTCACTGACGACTGATCTTTCCTCCCCCATTCTCTAGATCACCCGCATAAAGGAGAAGGTGGAAGAGCAGTCCGGTGTGCCCCCGCCCCAGCAGCGGTTGATTTTTGGTGGTCGGCAAATGTGCGTTGTATCCCCTCATTGCCTCGGGGCTGGTTTACATCGCCTCTCGTCCAGGCCCGACGATAAGACAGCGAAGGACTTCAATATCACAGCGGGGACTGTTCTTCATCTCGTCCTAGCGCTCCGTGGAGGCTGCTAATCGCCTTACGAGGACGGGGGAGTGTCGTGATGATCATAAGCCGCGGGTAGAAGTTTGTAGAAGGCGACTCTCGCATTGTACCCTCTATGCTGTCACAATTGTGCTGTAATTCGCAGTCGTACTGTTCTTCGTTCGTATTATAACATCCGCAAAGCTCATTCTGCAAGCGTATACTGTCAGATGGACAGGATGTCCTCTGGTCGTAAATCTCAGAGCACGGTAGCAAAGACAGACTAAAACGGGACGCGAGAAGATCTTTACAGGCGGACCCTGTGTAGCAAAAAACAGCAGTGAGCATGAGAGCGATGCCAATGCCAACTCAATCAAATCGCGGCCCTCGCCTCCTAGGCGGACTCCTCGATCGCGACGCCATTCGTCGGGCTCCTCGGCCTCCTCTGTCGCCCCAACCGCCCCTCCTCGGCGGCGGCGGGGAGTCTCTCCTGGGTGGAGGCACGCGTCTGTCGGCGTCTCTGTCCCTCTCTCTGTCTCTGTCCCTCTCTCTGTCTCTGTCCCGCTCTCTGTCTCTGTCCCTTCCTCCATAATCTCCGCGTCCTCCCCGCCCTCCACGCGGCACGCCAGACGGCGCCGGGTTCGAATCGCCCCGCCAGTGCCCTCCGCCGCGTCCAAGGCCACCAGGCGGACCTGCGGAAGGCGCCGCGCCGCCCCCCCAGCCCCCATCCGTGCCCCGCCCGCCACTCTTCCAGCCGTTCGTTGCGGCACCGGGGCCAGCGCTGCCTTTGATCGCGAGCTCGGCACCGGGGCCCACCGCGACCGTGGCGTTTTTGGGCAGGAGAACGGCGACGCAGAGATAGTCGCCGGGAACGAAGCGCAGCTCCTCCAGCGTGCGCTCGTCGCTGCCCGTCGGGGCGTCGTCATCGGTGAGAAGGCGGGGTGCGGGGGACGTCAGCGAGCCCGGCTCGCCGAGGATGTCGCGCGAGTAGACGATGCCGAGCTCTTTCTGGTTGAGCCGTCCGCGCGTCGCGCTGTCTGCGTATAGGGCGCGGAAGGAGTAGCGAGCGAGGGGGTGGCGGATCTCGGCGCCGGGCACTGTCACCCGGATGGTCGTCAGCACCTCGCGGAGGGTCGAATCTTTCCTGCGCAAAGTGAGTACGAAGGCGGCGGTCGTATACGCTGGGACATACCAGGTGAATATCTGCTGCTCGTCTGCGATGGGCAGCGGGCCCTCTTCGAACTGGGCGAGGCGATGAAAGCTCCCAACTTTGATGAATGTCCGAACGAGAAATGGAGCCGTCTAGTGATGCATAGCCCCAAATTAGTGGTGATGAACAACACTGCATTGTGTTACACTTGCCTTCTCGCGGTCAACGATGGGCTTCCCGGATGGTGTTGTCTCCTCCATTCCGAAAGCTACACGGTCGAGGTCGAAGAGTGCATACGCGCTACGCAAAAGGCCAGAAGGATCTGTCTTACGTAATGCAGGTTAGCTTCAACTTTTAAGTCGGTACCGGTCCAATATTTTGTTATTGCTGGCAGCAAATTTTAAAAAATGATTCGAGGAGCTTTGTCAAGAGCATGTGAGAAAACCTCTTCGAATGGGACCAACAATGAAATTATTAGGATATCGAACTGACAACACAATACATTCAAAAGCACGATAAGTCCGCACAAAACACCAAGACCATGAACCGACGATTGAAGGAGACACTTGACGTTAGGAGCATCCTTAAGTCCATCCACGCGCAGAACCCCTGCCGCCTCCGTGGCCCTTCTCCTTTTCGATGACAAACAGCGCATCCCGCATGGTGATCGGTCTCCGCGTATCATCCTCCCTTTGCTGCGGCTGCGACTGTATGGATTTGCTCGACACGTATGGTCTCGCCCATCGGCCCGCGGACGTGGCCGTAGCAGCAGGTGCTGTCGTCGTAGCAGGCGAAGTGACAGGAGGAGGAGGCTTCGGTTTTGCGGGCGCAGCTGCACTCGCTTGGCTCATCCACGCGTACTTGGTCCCCAAACCCGCTGCGTGGCTGGCGACGGCATTCGACATCTTCTTCCGCGCGTCCTCAGACATGTTGCGCGCCGTCACGCCCGGACCATCTTTTTTCTTTTTCTTCTTCGGCCCACCTCCTTCTCCATCTTCTCCTGCCCCATCGTCACCCATACCGCTCTGCGACATGGCGGAAGCCTGCGCAGCGGCTGCTTCGAGACGCTCTCTCCGCTCCCTGCGTATTTTCATCTCCTCTTCTCGCTCCGCTTTCTCTAGTGCTGCTAGTTGTTTGGCTACGTCGCTCCGCACGACGATGCTCCACATCGGACTTCCATCCTCATACAGCGACGCAGGCCGATCGAATTGGGTGTCGGTTCGATGCTCGGATGCAGCAATCATGGCACTGATCAAATCTTGGAGGCGCGCACGAAGAGACAGCGCCATGTAATTCACCGCGTCCTCGGGCACGGTATTCACCTTGTGTTTGGTGGCAACTTTGCGCATCGTCGCACCGAGAAAGCGTGCATCAAAATTCGGCTTCGCAGTCTGCTTGCGTGCGCGGTCCTCGCCGTACCGATATTGATAGGCATCATGCGATCGTTGTAATGATTCTTCTTCGGCCTATGCACAACAGAAAATCAGCGACAGTTATCAGATTTTCGCTTAGGAGCACAATGGTGTGGCGAACGCTTCACAGGCGATACATATACTCTATTCAACACACACCAGTTCCGAGAGTCTCCCAATCTGTCAAATTGAACTCGGTAGGCCAAAGGCCCTTGTATTTCAACTTCGACACAATCAACAAGAGATTCAAAAAGCAATAGAGAAGCAATCCGCGCTGCCCCCGCAACAGCTCCCAACCTTGCGGGCTAGACAACTGAGCAGAGGATCTGCAACGATATCCGCAGACAGGCGAAAGACGCACTCTTAGATCCACACCAGCACTTCCCAGTGCGTCATTCAAGGTTGCAATATCTGCAGTGTCAATTGCGTTCGACTGAGCAGTTTGTCTCGCGGCCGGAGCCGCGGCCTGAGGTTGTACCGGCGCAGACGGTTGTTGTTGTTGTTGTTGTTGTTGTTGTTGTTGTGTGGTCTGGGGCGCCGGGGTATATTGATAGTAGCCCTGGTAGTGACCCTGGTACTGGTGAGGCTGGTAATAACCACTTCTACAGCGCGGGGTCAGCAAGAGTCAAAGCGGTGATGACAGCGCGTTTACGTAGTTTGTTGAGACTGTTGTTGCAGCGCCGGGTCAATGGGGATCTCTTCACAGCTCGTGAGGCTCTGCTGCAGCAGTCGAAGGAGACTCGAACGCACGAGTGTTGCCCCATTGCGCAACGGAGAGGGTCGGTGCACTTGTCGTCGGGTTGTCGTGTTCCGACTTCATCACTACAATACGGGCGAAAGAGTTCCCTCACCGCGGAGAGTTCAAGGGCAGTATTGCGGGACGGAGAAAAGCACAGTGGTATTATTTGGTGCGAGTGTGGCCCGAAACCACGCCTGCGCGCCGTGCTCGCGACCCCTTATATAGCGCGGTACAGGGTGGCCAGGGTCCATCGAACGCGCTACGAACCCTCTGACACTCCTGGATCGCGTTCCGAGGCTGCATTAGCCCCATCGACCCGACACTAGCCATTGTCTTTACTCTCTGAGCCTGATCTACTTATCCTGCATCTACCCCGTAACGCAAGGAATGTAAAATGGTGGGTGCTGCGCGTCTCAGCTTCGAGCAAACAACTAGTACTTAGCCTCTATTTACCGTAAGGGGGTCTGCCAATTCTTTCTGCGCGGCCAATGCAAGTTTGGAAACCAATGTAGGAACGAGCATCCAAGAGACGGGCAGAAGGGCGGATTCGGAAGTATGTGATATGGCTGCTTAGCCAGTCCTCGCTTAGGTTGACTCGAATATGTGGCACAGACAATTCTTGGAACGCACCCTCGAATTCAAGTTCGGCCCCGCAGCTCTATACGTTCGCCCATCTCGTCCTTTTGCAACACGCACTCAGCTCATTTAGCCATCATGCTTGACCCATTTAGCCCCGACTCCATGGGAAAAGACCTGGACCCCAAAGCCGACAAGCCACTATGGCCACTTTCATCGTACGGCCCTGCAAAGTATCAGCCGACCGTCATCGCGAGTTTTGATGAGTCTCCAGAAGAACTACGTGCCAAGGCAGCCCTAGCAGCTAAAGCGGGCACAATTTCAGAATATGTGCGCTCAAAGTTGACCTTGCTATCTAAATTGTAGTTCGCTCACGTAGATGATGACATAGATGAAGTATGAAGCTGAGCGGATTGCGGCTGCTGAACAAGCCTTTGGAAATGCCAAGGCAAATGTTCAACAAGTCTACGACCAAGCTGTTCACGGCGGTCAAAATCAAGCTTCAGGCAGTACTACGGGGTTCGGGGGCTCCGCTTTCGGTACTGAGTCAAGCTCTGCGTTTGGAGGACCCGCAAATCCATCTGTTTTTGGAAAGCCGTCTGGTGCTTTCGGCTCTGGAAATGCTTTGGGAAGCGGAACATCGACTTTTGGCTCTGGCGCCACGACCTCGGCGTTTGGCCAGCCTTCTTTTGGGCAGACATCCTTGGGGCAACCGGCACAAGGAAGCTCCGCCTTTGGGCAGCCTTCCCAAACAACGTCAGTGTTTGGGCAGCCGTCGCAACCAACTTCGGCGTTCAGTCAACCTGCGCAAGGTAACTCTGCATTCGGTCAACCCGCGCAGAGCACGTCTGCCTTTGGACAGCCAGCACAAAGCGCATCAGCCTTTGGACAAGCTGGCCAAGGCACGTCAGCTTTTGGACAACCAGCGCAGAATCCCACCTCTGCGTTCGGACAGGCAACTTCAAATTCACCAGCATTTGGCCAATCTACTCTTATTAGACCTGCGACAGGAGCGTTTGGCTCTACGGGGTCCACCTCAGGAGGATTCAGTGCCTTTGCAAATCCGTCCTCCTCGACCAGCGCTGGTCCTGGTAGTGGAAGCGGGGGCGCGTTTTCCGCCTTTGCAGGCCAGCAGGCTTCTGCGTTTGGTTTGGCTGCGGCTGCAAACGCCCTGAGCACAACGAGTGGGTCTGTCTTTGGGCAGCCATCGCTGGGAACCACGACACCAGCTAGCTCGCCTTCGGCATTTGGAAGCACAGCCCCTACAGCACCTGCATTCGGGTCAACGTCTGCTTTCGGTGCGCTCGCAAATTCGGGCTCTGCGCCCACTTCGAGCACGACTGCTGCGCCATCCGCATTTGGCCAGCAGCCCTCTGCCTTCGGGTCGTCTGCATCCGCGCCAGTGGCCTCCGCCTTCGGTTCACAACCCGCCGCATCTGCGGTTAGTTCGCAGGGTGCGTTTGGCTCGACCAACAATGCGGTGCAATCAGCATTTGGCACTCCGGCTTCCCAGCCGGCGACGTCCGTGTTTGGATCGTCCACTCAACAGCCCGTGTCTGTATTCGGCTCTGCAGCGTCGTCACAGCCTGCATCCGCGTTTGGTTCGGTCCTTGCACAGGCAACGTCTGCGTTTGGAGCTGCTCCTGCTCAGTCACAACCCGCATCACAAATCCAATCAGGCCCACCAGATTTCGTCGCGGCGCGAGCGCGAATAAGGTGCAAGCCTGGGGTCGACAAGTGCGCGTCGATGATTCCAGATAATTACATGCAGCTGCTCCCGGCTGAAGTGTTGGAGGCGTTCAAGAGCGAACACTTTGAATGGGGACTGATCCCCGAGTTTGTGCCGCCAAAGGAGCTGCGATGATACACAGGCTGGATGTACGACACAGGTGGATGTAGATTATTCATTGGATTCGGTACGTTCGGTGGTTTTTTGGTGTACTATCAATTTGAGTATGCATATGTACAGTATTTAATCCACTACAGTCGTTCATGAATTTGCAAGCCCATTCGTGCGCCTTTTGAGCAGCTGATATCATCTGCTAGATGTGTTCGCATGTCTTGCCCCATTTACTTTATTCATGTCCCGGGTGTGTCTGATCTGAATCATAGCGTGAAGTTGATGTATGCGCTCATATTATATTAGTCCCAAGAAGTACTCGAGACAATTTGCGACGAGTAGACTGGACGGTGTGTATACATTCCCCAACTCATGTCCAGATGTACACGACAAAAATGACGGACTATGGGCCATAGAAACATACAGACAGTAAGTGCACCTATGGGAAATATTTACAAAGTTTGAATAAACAGAATGCCTTTCCAGCGAGACGAATTTTGAGCTTTTCAGGAAAGCTCAAGCGGACCGACTTCCAGTTCCTTTGCGAGGGGTCTGGCTATCTGAGTCTCATTGAGAGATACATATGTGTAGGTACGTGACACTAAGTATGGAACTAGATATGTGGAATAAAAGAAGTCCACTGGACGTTCCGGTACGCTCCCGCAGGGAGAGCCCTTGGTGGTGCGAACGAGAGAACGAGCAAAAGGACGCGCGCCATGCCGTACAACAGGATGCTCCAAAGCAGCACGACGAATGCAGACAAAAGAACGAGGCCTGGCATCATACGCACTAGAACCAAGCCCCCCTCGATCGATGCAACGGACGCCGCGATCTCGACCAGCAGCGCCACACTGGCTGTTATAGACAGCGCAGACATCCGCCAGATGAGCATCTCCAAGTGGGACGGAAACGCATACGACCACGCAATACAGTGCATCCCTCCGAACACCATCGTGACCAGCATCACCAAGCCCCACGCGCTGAGCCTCATGTAGCCGACTTCTTTTCTGTCCTCCCAATCTCCAGAATAAAAGGTCAAAGCATGCTTATCTTGGCGCATATTCCTCTCATCGTCCTGTATGCCCATCACGAAGACCAAAAGTCGAATGAACCACACTTCTGTGGCCCACTTTCCTGGCCTGTCCTCTGAGTGAGGGTATGGATCAAAGCAGTACGGAATACGGACAGGACATTGGACGTCAAGGGGTTTGTGCCACCAGACGGTATACATGGCAACGGTAAAGATCGTATACGCGAGCGTCAGCAAGAATATCATGGCGGTCTGTGATGGTAGCTGCGTTGAACCCTTGGGTTGTAAGCGGTGAAGCAGAACATCCTCGTGCTGGCGATCCGAATGCTGTGCACTCGGATATTACTTGCTTTGCTGCGAAATACGTTTTTCAGCCTCACGTATGAGGGAATGAGCTTCATTTTAGCCAAGAACCACACTATTTCCGGAGTCGTTCTGACACGTGAGGGTCAGATACGAATACCCGAAGCCTGCAAGAGCGACGACATGTAAGGGACTTCGTCGCGCACGGTCTCGATTTCGTCAATATTCTTCAGCGGAGCGAATATGAATAAGGGCACATACTCTCGCTCAATGCTAAGGGCTTCATGTGTCCTGATCATATAGGGCTTCTGGCCACTAGTCTTGCCGCTGGTCGCTTTACACGCTGGCGGCTATGTTGAGTTCAAGTTGCCTATTCAATTTAGGACACTCTCACTCGCCATCGAATCGTAAAATTCATGCGCACTTCTCGCATTTGTCAGACGTGCAAACACGTCTGGGTCACGACACCTACTGCCCCGCAAACTTTCTTCGTCTCCCGGTTCTGTCCTATCTGAATAGTGTGATATCGATGGATGCGCTCACTTCTATGTCCAAAAGGAACATACCTGAAAAGAACTGTGATGAAAGTATATAGACGTGAGTTGAGCGTGCCACAAGGCTGGACAATACACGTTCCCTGACTCACTGTGTCCAAATGTGTCGGGAAAAAACGATGGAAGGCTGCGGATGATGTGAACGTACAAACAGCGAGTGCACTTACAAAGTACGTGCTCACAGAGCGCATTTCTAGCGGAATGACCTTCAAGGGGGCTATGTCGTGCACTGCTTACCGGGAGTGCTCGAGCCTGCTCAAGCGCGGTTTCCAGTTCCTTTGACCTGAGAGCTTGTCCGGGCCGAGAGGGGTCTGGCCATCCGAGTCCCATTTGGAGGCCATTCACGATGTGCGCTCAAAGTGAACCTTGCTATCTAGACTATAGTTCGCTCACGTAGATGATCATATACATAGATGAAGTATGAAGCTGAGCGGATTGCGGCTGCTGAACAAGCCTTTGGAAATGCCAAGGGAAACGTTCAACAAGTCTACGACTAAGCTGTTCACGGCGGTCAAAATGAAGATGAACCCGCATTTGACACTACGGCTGGGAGTGTGTGACACTTGCTAGGCGTGCTGTGGCTGATGAGTCCGTGGCACCTTGATTTAATCTGATTCAACTTGAGCTCAACCATTTCTGTCTGCTACAGCCTCTACTCACTACCCTCATGTCTGCTCGCCAGCATCGATACCTCATCCCCAACGTGCAGCACTCCTCACTGGACCCTCCTGGTGTTCGACCTCAGTTGACATTTCAATTCAAGCCTACCTGGCTGCCGTTAACTCGGAAGGTGCGTCGGCATTTGCGAGAATAATCTGCTCGGCTCACGTTGACCCCAGGATGCCCCGGCCGCGTCTGAATACGAGCCGTATGTGACTCTGCCTCGCATTCTGATACCTCTTCCAGGTTGCCCCTTGCGGCCGCCCAAGATGCGCTACGGGTGGATTGCCAATGAAGACGTTCTTGTCGAGCTTGCCAGGGAGTTTGACTGCATTGTGATGTATAATGATTCTCCGTATTTCTTGGACGATGGGGACGAAGAAGACCTGGACGACGAGGAAAGAAATATTGCAGTTACGAGGGAGTACGATACCAGCACCCCAGCGCAGGCGACCTTGACTGCAAGATATAATCCTGACAAGTTTCCGCACGAATCTGAAGGGCGATATGTGGCCAGACTCGCGGGATGGGACGTGTTGAGGACAATGAAGAGGGCGGTGGAACTTGTTGGAGAGGAGGTCCCTGCCACTCACGATACGCTTGTTTTGTCCGGCACGCTCTTCCACAAGCGCGTCCCCACCATTGTCTCGGTATTCACGAACTACGATCTTACTTCAAACCGACTCCCAGACGCGGATGATTTGGATAAACTGGCGCGTCGGCTGGGTGTGCAGGGAAAGCCTCGGTGGTTCTTGGACTCGATACACTGGCGGTGGCACGATAATGACCAGCCTTACTGATGCTCGTCGATTCCTGTCAGGGAAAGTATGGTGTTTCATCATTGGAGTACGTATACTAACCACGTAGTTTCGGGCTTTCTGTGGGGTGTTTCGAGCACGGTTAGATGCTCTAGCTATGCGCCCATCTATTGGTCTCTGCTGTTATTGTGGATGCTGTTGAAGCTCGCTCACTCTTGGAAATCACTATCTTGTCTTCCTCTCAGCACTGTAAACATCAACGATCGTTTTACTTTATACGTCTTAAGTGTCAAGTTACTATGCTCATTAAAGTTTGGCTTCAAGTCCAAACTGACGTTTCAATTCAGGCACCCGTGGTATCCGCTACGCATGAAGGTATGTGGAGTGGTTGGCTCACGTTGTATCTAGGATGGCCCTCTGCTGCTTCCACATAGTGCTGGACTTTTCCTCGTACCCTGACTCCCATTCATGGCTATAGGCTACAGCCACCCGTCACGCACTACCATGGGGGGATAGCTGATGTCAATTGGCGAAAGAGCTCAATTGCATCAAGGTGCACAGACACTCGACGAACGTATGCAATTGAGACGTAGATATGGACGGGGAAGAGAAAAGCAGCATGGCCAATACACGGTTCCCCATCACAGATGGTTTGGATAAGCTGGCGCGTCGACTGGGTCTGGAGGGCAATGCTCCGGTGGCACTTGGACTCGTCTGAATGGTGATGGCACGACAATGGCCAGTCTTATTGACTTCTACTTGGCGGCCGTTTTGAAACGTTGAAGCTGTTGTTGTAACATGTATTTCCTTCTCGTACGTGTATATTCAATAGATTTATATACGCCAGGTCGTGTGGCTCGGGGACGCACGACCAGGTGAGTGGGGATGGTGGAAACGGTACTACCACCACTGCTATTTACTAAGTGATTAGGTAGTAACGATCAGATAGCCGTGGCCACAGAGCCACCGTGCAAGGCTCTTGGACAAAGGGAAGGCTCGGTCATGAATCTGCGTTCCCCGGGCCGAGATGCTGTGCGGTCGGCCACAAGCTCATACTATGATGTAAGACTACTAAAGTTGATCTTCAACATAAATTTGACGGCCTTTCCCACTTGCCGGATTTCTACACGCGTCCACATCCCAATGTCTGCTCGAAAGAACAAATACATCACCCCGAACGTGCAGCATTTCTCACTAGATCCTCGCGGTGCCCACCCTGACTTGACATTTCAATTCAAGCCTACATGGCAGTCATTGTGCAGGAAGGTGTGTCGATAGTTTCAAGAATGATGTGCTAGCTGACGCTGAATTTAGGATGTTCTGGCTGCCTCCGAATATGAGCCATACATGACTTTGCCCCGTGTCCTGATACCTGTTCCAGGTCACCCCTTACGACCACCCAAAATGCGCTATGGGTGGATCGCCAACGAAGAGGTTCTTGTTGAAATTGCCAAGGAGCTCGATTGCGCTGTATTATGCGCCCCCGCCACTTTCTCGGATGGATCCGACGACGAGGATCTGGACGACGATGAGGAAGAAGTGGTCAAAGAAGAATACAATAACAGCACACCGGTCCAGGCAATCCTAACCTCAAGATATAAGCCTGACAAATTTCCAAATGAATCTGATGGGCACTATGTGGCCAGACGTGCGGGATGGGAGGTGTTTAGGACATTCCAGAGGGTAGTAAACATCGTGCGATCGGAGGAACTTGCCGCTCGAGGTACCCTCGCACTGTCCCTCACGCTCTTCCGCAATTCCACTCCCTTCATGATCTCAGCCTTCACGAACTACGACCTTACCTCGAAACGACTCCCAAGCGTGGACGATTTAGACATGCTGGCGCGCCGGCTGGGCCTGCAAGGAGATGCCCAGTGGTTCTTGGATTCATTAGACTGGCGGTGGCATGACAATGGCCAGCCTTACTGATGCTTGTTGATTCCTGTCAGACAAAGTATGACATTTCAAATTCCCCATTGGAGTATGTATACTACCCACATACATTTATGCTTCCTGCCTGTGAGGTGTTTTCGGGCGCGGTGAGATGCTCTGGCTATGCGCCTACATATTTCCCTATCTGCTGTTATTGTGGATGCTATTAAAGCTGTAAATCACTATTTTTTCTTTCTCTCAGCACTGTGAACATCAAAGATCGTTCCACTAGATCCGCATCCGTTCAAAAAAGCTTACTACGCCCATTGAAGTTCGCCTTGGATGGGGTTCAATTACACCAACCCAGCCACATGCCTGAAGAGATATTACCTTGTCCGCCAGTATTCCTACTATACCAATTCGAGACTCGGATGAAGTTGTGGCTGAGATCTGAGAGTCCGCGCCAAGCTCGGATAGCATAAGCGCCGAGGAAGTATTCAAGTTGAAACAGATCGCCATGAGAGCCCGACAACTCCCAGTTCCGCACTCTGCATCTCATGCCTATTCACAAAAAGAAATATACCACCCCTAACGTGCAGCATTTCTCGCTGAACCCTCCTGGTGTCAAATCTTACTTAACATTTCATTTCAAGCCTAGATGGGACCTGCTAAGCAGGAAGGTATGTTTGTGATTGCCACATGAAATTGTTGGCTCACGTCGTATCAAGGATGCCTTGGCTGCTTCTAAATACGTCCCATATCCAACCCTTCCTTGTGTCTTAATTCCTATTCCCGATCATCCGCTGCGCCCGCCTGTCATGCACTATGGATGGATTGCCGACATCGACTTTCTCCTCGAACTGGCCAAAGAGCTCAACTGTGTTAGGATGTATATGTGTTCGGCGGACTTATACGGTCCTGACGATGATGATTTGGATGAGGAAGACGAAGATACTGTGGACAAAGAGTGTGCCGACAGTGCTCCTGCACAGGAACTCCTTACTGGGACAAATAAACCTGAAAGAGGATCGCGAGAATCCAAAGTCCAGTACGCAGCCAGACTGGCAGGCTGGGATGAATATAGGACATTGCTCAACGTAGTGCAAATTATTGCGAAGGGGTTTGATGCCTGTCCACGCACGCTATCTCTTTCCAGCACCCTCTTTTGCGATGATACACCCATCGTAATCTCAGTGTTTACAAACTATGATCTCGACAACACACAACTCCCCACAACGGATGTTTTGGATGAACTGGCGCGTCGACTGGGTCTGCAAGGAAATGCTCGGTGGTACTTGGACTCATCTAAATGGCGATGGGATGACAATGGCCAACCTTATTGACTTCTACTCAAGGTCCGCTTTGAAATGCTGAAGCTGTCGTTGTAACATGTATTTTTTTCTCGTATGTATATTCAATAGATTTATGTATGCCCAGTTGTGTGGGTTGGGGACGGCGTGACTAGGTGAGTGGGGATGGTGGAAATGGTACTACTACCACTATTTATTAAGTGATGAGGTAGTGATGGCTCTTGATGCCAACAAATGACCAGATAGCCGCGGCCACAAAGTCACCGTCTAAGATCTTGGACAAAGGGAAGGCCCTCCCGGGCCGAGATGCGATGCGGTCGGCCACAAGTTCACAGTAAGACTACTTAAGTTGATTTTCAACATAAACGTGACGGTCTTTCTCGCTTGCCGGATTTCTACACACATCCACATCCCAATGTCTACTCGAAAGAACAAGTACATCATCCCGAATGTGCAGCATTTCTCACTAGATCCTCGCGGTGCCCACCCTGACTTGACATTTCAATTCAAGCCTACATGGCAGTCATTGTGCAGGAAGGTATGTCAGTAGTTTCGAGAATAATGTGCTTAGCTGACGCTAAATCTAGGATGTTCTGGCTGCCTCCGAATATGAGCCATACGTGACTCTGCCCCGTGTCCTGATACCTGTTCCAGGTCACCCTTTACGGCCGCCCAAGATGCGCTATGGGTGGATTGCCAACACAGATGCTCTCGTCGAACTTGCCAAGGAGCTCGATTGTGTTGAAATGTGTGCCCCCCCGGTGACTTACTCGGATGAATCCGACGACGAAGATCTGGATGAGGAAGAAAGACAGACTGTGATCAAAGAAAAATACGATAACAGCACACCGGTCCAGGCAATCCTAACCTCAAGATATAATCCTGACAAATTCCCAAGCGAGTCTGAAGGGCAGTACATGGCCAGACGTGCGGGATGGGATGTGTTTTGGACATTCGACAGGGTAGTAGACATCGTGAAAGAGGAGGAACTTGCTGCTCGGGGTGCCCTCGATCTGACCCTCGTGCTCTTCCATAAAAGCACTCCCTTCATGATCTCGGCCTTCACAAACTACGACCTTACCTCAAAACGACTCCCTAGCGTGGACGATTTGGACAAGCTGGCGCGCCGGCTGGGTCTACAGGGAAAGGCCCAGTGGTTCTTGGATTCATTAGACTGGCGGTGGCATGACAATGGCCAGCCTTACTAATGCTCGTTGATTCCTGTGAGATAAAGTATATCGTTTCGCCATTGGAGTGTATATACTATCCACATACATTTGGGCCTCCTGTGGAGTGTTTTCGAGCACGGTGAGATGCTCTAGCTATGCGTCCATCTATTGTTTTATACTATTGTTGCGGATGCTATTGAAGCTCGTTCGCTCTTGAAAATCACTATTCTTCCTTCTCTCTGGCAGCACTGGTAAAGTCATTAACGATTGTTCTGCTTGATCCATCTCAAATGTCGATCCAAAAGGAATTGCTACGCCAACTTGAATTGGTCTCAGATTGGGTTCACTTACGGAGAACATTGGAATTAGAGCGCGAGACTCGTGTAACAAACGGCGTGCGTACACGAGTGCCACAACGCTCGATTGAGACGAAATTGCAACTTGGCTAACTTCTGGATGATTGATAGAGCCCGCATGTCAGCTGAGCAAGTAGAACCTGAACCTCCAGGAACAGTCCTCAGGCAAATTTAAGCATACCTGCCAGATTTGTTGCTTGTAGGAGTGCCACCAGCTCACTGCGGGCAATATATCTGAAGTTTAAGTCCGAGTACACAGGGTCAAATTTTCGGCAACGAGAGTGAGTCAATTTTGTTTGTTCCTGGTATACATTGTACTACTGTGACGGAGACTGCGAGTGTCACGATCATGTACATACCAGTGCGTCGCCCGTCCAATGATGCAATTTAGTTGAATACAGCCACCGTCTCGCCGTCAGTTCCTCGCTCCGCCCGTTTTCACCTGCACAGTACAACATATGTCATAAAATGAGTTATACAGCGCCCTGTGTTCCGACTCTAGCTAATGCCAATGGACTCGACATCAACGAAATCGTTGTCCACTGGCTATGACAAATTAGCAATCTCTCTTTTAGCCCCTCCTATTCCTTTGCTTCTCCGCCTGAGACTTGGCGTTCCTCACGTCGGACCATACTCGCTTGTAATCTTTGTGATAATCCTTCTTGTCCTCTCTGAGTAGGTAAGTCCATTCCCGAAAGGGGGACGATAGAATGGCCTCGAGCTGATCCGAACTGCGAACTACTTGGCCGAACGGTGGTAATTTTGCTCTCGGGAATGTGAGAACACGAAAAAAGAGGCCAATGCAACACATAACATGGATTTCCTTCTCGGCACTGAAATGATAAGCTGCAACCTGAGCTTGCTGAACAACTTGCTGAACCATCTCTTCGAATTTAGAGTTGAGCGAATATTCGTCGAACTCGTCTCCGCGCCAGAACATGTGTGGGTAGGGCTTGATCTCATGAAGGAAAAGAAGTCGACAGACACCGTCAGGAAGAAATAGAAGAGTGTTAAAATCAGGAATCCGTTTGGGATCCACAAAGCGTGTGGGACGTTTTTGAGATGGATGCGGAATGGCTGAGCCTGGGTCATCTACTGTGACATCACTTGCTATGCTAGATAACGTCAGATCCAAAAACTCAGAAGAGAGTTCCTGAAAATCGCCATCTGATGCATGGCTGCGCAACACTCTGGCTATGGATGATGTACGTCAGCAAAAGATAATCAGGTAATCTTTAAGCCATGAGGATCTTACTTGACTCTTCAATTACAGCGTTGGGATCGAATCCATCAGGGCAGCTCATTGCTGGCTGAGGATGTACTAGAATACGATAAAGCTTTTTGCCATCACTACCCCGCCTCTGAGTATTTCGTAACGACAAGTTATTGAGCACGACGTCCCAGCCCAAGTAGAGGTCGTTCTCGTAGTCAGATTCCCTCGCGTCTTGTTCGAACTCTCGAATAGATGCCATATAATCTTTATATTTTACGACACAATGACGGGGCCAATTGTCACGATCGGATGGCATCCCTCCAGGAATAAACCTAAGATGCCGCGCCGCGTCAAGATCAATTCAGAGCATTGAGCGAGATCAGGTAGCATCACGTACCTGATATACAGGATGAAATCACAAAGTAGAGCAAGTGTGTCCTAGGAAAACAAATGTATATCGTATGTTCAAAGGATTTATATATGCCCAGCCATGTGGCTTAGGAAGCTGCAGCAGCCACGTGGTATAACATGTCATTGCGGTGAACGTCGTGTGGCGCCGCACGACGAGGTGTGTGAGGACAAAGAACATACTTGAAATGGAACTACATATGTAGTGGCGATCTCATGGCCGCAGCTACAAACTCTCGCATGGGAGTGTCGGACAAAGGGAAAGCCTCGTGAAGTTACTCAATCGGGATGCTGCGGCTGATCCGCGATCGGCGCCAAGCTCATGTGATGTTGAAGTACTTAAGTTGGAAGATCCTCAGCATGAACTCAGCGACCGTTCCCCCTTGCTAGACTTCTGCGCACATTCCCATCCCAATGTCTACTCGAAAGAACAAATACGTCACCCCAAACGTGCAGCATTTCTCACTAGATCCACGTGGTGGCCACCCTGATTTGACATTTCAATTCAAGCCTACATGGCAGCCATTGTGCAGAAAGGTATGTCGGCATGTTCGAGAATAAATGGCCTAACTCACGCTGAATTTAGGATGCCCCGGCCGCCTCTGAATATGAGCCATACCGGACTCTGCCTCGTATCCTGATACCTGTTCCAGGTCACCCCTTACGACCACCCAAGATGCGCTATGGGTGGATCGCCAACACAGACGCTCTCGTCGAACTTGCCAAAGAGCTCGATTGCGTTGCAATGTGTCCCCCCCCGGCGACTTACTCGGATGATTCCGACGACGAGGATCTGGGTGACGACGAGGATCTGGACGACGACGAGGATTTGGATGAGGAAGAAAGACGGACTGTGGTCAAAGAAGAATACGATAACAGCACGCCGGTCCAGGCAATCCTAACCTCAAGATATAATCCTGACAGATTTCCAAGTGAGTCTGAGGGGCAGTACATGGCCAGACGCGCGGGATGGGATGTGTTTAGGACATTCCAGAGGGTGGTAAACATTGTGCGAGAGGAGGAACCTGCTGCTCGAGGTACCCTCGCACTGCCCCTCGCGCTCTTCCGCAATCGCACTCCCTTCATGATCTCGGCCTTTTCGAACTACGACCTTACCTCAAAACGACTCCCAGATGTGAACGATTTGGACAAGCTGGCGCGCCGGCTGGGTCTGCAGGGAGAGGCTCAGTGGTTCTTGGATTCATCAGATTGGCGATGGCATGACAATGGCCAGCCTTACTGATGCTCGGTGATTCCTACCCACGAAGCAAGAAGACTTGTAATTAGAATATGTAATGATCCACATACGTTTGAGTTGCCGTTTGTTAGGTGCTTTTGAATACGGTTAGGTGCTCTGTGCTCATCCGTTACTCCCCCCTCCCTCCGTCTGCTTTCAATTTGAGATGTTACTCCTCGCTCGCTCTCGCAAATCGCTATTTTGTTTTCCACTTAGTTATAGTGAACATCAATGATCACTAAGCTTTGATTGGCGGACCAAAGGGGGTTGCATACGCCCAAAGGTTGAGTTTATTTACAGCGAGCGTTGTCCTTCGGCGCAGATGATGGTAAACCCATCTTATTCCTAGCTGATGTCCGAACCAGTTAACCAGCTCGTTGCTCTCGTACAATGCAGTGTAATACACGTACAGCGCATCAATATAATACGCCTCAGCTGCCCCATCCGCTGCGAACAGTACTGAGTGGCCAAGTGGAGTTCAGTTGGCCTTGGCTGGCGTAGGCGAGTGGTCACTCGTCAGGACTCGAAATACCTTGTCCACGATTTCCTAACCGGAATATTGTGGCTGGTCCATGTTGATTTTGATTGGCATCGACCCCATCACGATGTAGATGAATCCTGGAATAGTACTTGAGCTCAAAGATCAACGTGAATTTGGTAACCTTTGTCCGCTCTCCTCCCCATGTCTGCTCAACGAAAAAAAAAAAAATCACCCTCAGCGTACAACACCTGTCGGTGGATCCTCCCGGGGTTAAGTCCCACTCGACATTCTAATTCAAGCCTACTTGGGAGCCACTGCGCGTGGAGGTGTGTCGGCATTTGTGGTATGAAATGAAGTGGCTGGTTGACTCACATCATGATTATGATGATATATAGTATGCCTCGGCTGCCTCTATATACGAACCGTACTTGACTCTTCCTCGCGTTCTGATTCCTATCCCAGGCCACCCACAGCGGCCCCCTGTCATCCACTATGGGTGGACTGCTGATATCGATCTTCTTCTCGAACTGGCCAAAGAGCTCGATTGTGTCAAGATGTATACACGCTCGACGTTCGTATGCGATCCCGACGACGAAGACTTGGACGAGGAAGGAAAGAATTATGTAGAGAAGGAGGAGTACGACAACAGCACCCCGGCACAGGCGATTCTCACTTCCAGATTTAAGCCAGAAAGAGTTACGCGGGAGTCCGAAGTGCGATACGCCGCTAGGCGTGCGGGATGGGACCAATAGAGGACACTGCTGAGCGTAGTGAGCGTCGTCGGGAAGGAATTTCCTGCCTCTCAAGATACACTGCCTCTTTCAAGTGCACTTTTCTTCGATCGCATCCCAATCATCATCTCGATGTTCACGAACTATAATCTGACCACTGCACGACTTCCTGCGGCAGAACATTTGAGTGAAGTAGCTCAGCGACTAGGTCCGCAAGAGAAGACACAGTGGTACTTGGACTCGTCCGATTGGCGGTGGCGCGACAATGGCGAGCCTTATTGATTACCTCGTTAATTGCTGAATTTCGAAGCATGGAATTTTGTGTTCTATTAGCAGGTGCTGGGTTTTGAGTTCTCCGGTGCTTTCGAATACGCTTAGTTGTTCTCTACGTTCGTCTGTTGTCCACGCTACTGTGGATGCGACCGTTTTTCAATTTGTAGATGCATTTCTCCTTGCTGCTCCGATATGCATATATGGACGAGTAAGTCCGAATAGCAATTCGTTGCATTCAAAGACTCAGTGCCGAATCTGCAGTAGTATTGAGCGAGAATTAAATGGAGGGCGACATGAGCAAATAGGTCTGGGATACTTCGTCTCCACGACAACTCCTTTACGGTATCACTGTTTATAATTTGTCATGTTCAACCACGATCGTGATACACCTTACAAGCATTCACATCGGTGGAGACTTGGTTTGATCTGATGGGCCTCATGCAGCAGAGCCTTTCAACGCGTAGCAAAGTGCCCAGTCAAACCGTTCACTGCTGATTTTCGCCACCGCATGAATGCAGAACGGTACCTTCAAGATATTTGCGTCCAAACTCCCCTTATTTGCCGTTCCGGTATGAAGCAGCTAAAACTACTAGCAGGGCGCGGGCTCTTCCGTGTTGAGAGGTCGGAGGAGTCTACGCTGTCTCGTGCCCGCCGCACGGCGCATTGCATTCTTCCGAAACCACGCGGTCGCTCAGTGCCACCAGCGCACATCTGTTCGCTCCTACGATATCAAAAGCCGCGTTTCGTATAATATTTATCCTCGCCGTAGAGGCCCAGTGTAGGCATATCTGGAAAAAGATGTGGCTGTGAGTCATCTACGTCACTGGTCTTGTACCCAATTCGCTTCGACACGTTTGGGTACGAGACCATACGTGACATGGGGGTTGGAGCGTGGCACTAGGCCGCGTACTGTGGCTGATGAGTCTGTGGCGCCTTGATTTAATCTGCTTCAACTTGAACTCAACAATCCCTGTCTGCTACAGCCTCTATGTACTCACTGCCCTCATGTCTGCTTGCAAGCATCAATACCTCATCCCCAACGTGCAGCACTCCTCACTGGACCCTCCTGGTGTTCGACCTCAGTTGACATTTCAATTCAAGCCTACCTGGCTGCCGTTAACTCGGAAGGTGTGTCGGCATATGCGAGAATAATCTGCTCGGCTCACGTTGACCCCAGGATGCATCGGCCGCGTCTGAATATGAGCCATACGTGACTCTGCCTCGCATTCTGATACCTATTCTAGGTCACCCTTTACGTCCGCCCAGGATGCGCTACGGGTGGATCGCCAATGAAGACGTTCTTGTCGAGCTTGCCAAGGAGTTCGACTGCATTGTGATGTATAATGATTGCCCATATTTCTTGGACGATGGGGACGACGAGGACCTGGACGAGGAAGAAAGAAATGTTACGGTCACGAGGGTGTACGATACCAGTTCCCCAGAACAGGCGATCCTGACTGCAAGATATAATCCTGACAAGTTTCCGCACGAGTCTGAAGGGCGATATGCGGCCAGACTCGCGGGATGGGACGTGTTGAGGACAATGCAAAGGGTGGTGGAACTTGTTGGAGAAGAGGTCCCTGCCACGCAAGATAGACTTGCTTTGCCCGGCGCGCTCTTCCACAATCGCGCCCCCTCCATGGTCTCTGTATTCACGAACTACGATCTTACCTCAGATCGACTCCCAGACGCGGATGATTTGGATAAACTGGCGCGTCGGCTGGGTGTGCAGGGAAAGCCCCGGTGGTTCTTGGATTCGATACACTGGCGGTGGCACGATAATGGCCAGCCTTACTGATGTTGGTGGACTTTCCACCCGCGAAGCAAGGATTTGATTTGTCATTGGAATATGTATACTACCTGCGTGCGTTTGAGTTTCCGTTTGTCGAGTGCTTTCGAATACGTCTATCTTCATCTGTTGTTCTCCCTGCTCTCGATTTAAGGTCTCATTTCTACTCGGTCGCTCTCACAAACCGCTATTTGATTTCCTCTCAGCTAGAGTGAATATCAATGATCGTCAACGCTATGCTTGCTATGTCTCAAGTGGCAGGCTAAAAGCCGGGGTTGCTACGCCCAAAAGCTAAGTCGGATGGGGTTTTATTACAGCAAGCCTTGTACTCTCGGCACAGATTTCTGGAATTCTGGTTCGGGCAAACTAGTCCATCGTTGCTCAACACTTATCGCCTAATCGATTTTAACAAGAAGAAGCCAGTCTATCATTAATATGTCAATTCGCACCGCCGCAGTCTCCGCATCGGTACGGATCGATCTATGAGACAACGTCGGAACACTACTTGTCCACACGGTCTTAGGATATTAAATCAGAAGGCAAATTGAGGCTCATAGGGCCACTCAGTCTGAGCACAACACAAATTCTCGAAGACCTCTCGATTGTGGCCGAACGCCGCCATGAATAAATTCCATCACGCACGGTATTGGTAATACATCCATATTGGTTTAAATTCCTCTGCACGACTTAGTGTGACCAGCACGTTCAATCGTATAATGCACCCCCCGACGAACTTCGCGACATTAGACTCTCACTTTTATTCTCTGCACGAATCGCTCCCACGATCTGGGCAACTTCCTCTTTTTCATCGTCAATGACGCGTCCTGAGCCCTGCGCGCTGCTGAATTACGCTCGGAAAGCCGCACAGCGATGTCGGGAGGGACCTCGGGGAACTCCAAAAGCAGCGAGGATATATTGGGCGAAGGGATCGCTACCGCGCGGGTCTGCGGGGTCACAGGCCCGCTGCTCTCTGAATCGCTGCCGGAGTCGTCGGTGAACAGAGAGTCAGAAGCGTTGACGAATAGCGACTCGTCTCCGACCGGAGTGAAGGCCTTTGGGGGCGTGCCTATATTCTTCGGCACAGTGATCTTGTCGTTGTCGTCGGGAGACGATATCGGGCGAATGTCGACGATCTTGACCTCGGCCGCGTCGCTTGCGCCGGTGCCTACACGTAGGCAATCGGTGATGTCCACCGAGCCGACGGGACGTGATGAGGACAGAAGCGTTTTGACCGGCGGACAGAGGTTCGGTGCGGTGGGGAAGAATGTGTCGATTTCGATGACTGCAGCACGGAGCTGATGGATAGTGATGCGCTCCGCGGGATTGTCCACGAATATACGAGAGAGTAGGTCGACGGCGCCCCGCGAGATGTGGAGCATGCGCTGCAGGTACGGCTTTCCTTCGACGAGGTAGCTGGCGTATCCGGTATCCTGGGTAGACGCGATATGCCACGGGTTGCGCCCGGTGATCATGTTGACAAGGATGACCCCCAGTGCCCAGATATCGGAGATTGATGTAACGAACGGCCGCTTGCTTACATCTGCGCCGGCGCATTCTGGGATAGAGGGGTGAGCATGGGAGCTGTGTTGCATATCAATGGAAAATACCTGGACTCATATAGAATGAGCTTCCACAGCCGAAGCTGGCGCTCAACTTTGCCTTCGTGGCTAGGCCAAAGTCGGTCAAATAGACACGACTCCCATCTCCTGACAAAAGGATATTCTCCGGCTTCAGATCACGATGAGATATTCCCAAGTCATGACAACCATGGATGGCGTCAAGGAGCTGTAGGAATGATCTCTTCACGCGCACATCGTCATTGACATACATGCCGTGGTCGATGATAGCACTGAACAAATCACCGCCAGGACAGTAATCAAGGATCAGATAGAGATAGTGCTCTTCTTCAATGACGCCATGTAGTTTGACGACACATGGATGTGCTGAAGCTGCCTTGTGATATGCAATCTCGCGCTGCTGCAAGTGATGGTAATCTGACTCTTTAGGGTGTTTCAGGAGACACTTCACAGCATATGGAGTAGGCTTTGAGGGGAGCGAATTGTCGTATGCAAGGTACACCACACCATAGGCACCGGACCCTAAACGCTTAATGAGGCGCAAGCGCATGTGTTCCAAAGTGATGATGAGGCCCTTGAAATCGGGCAAGATGGCACTGAACTGGACCATGGCGAGAACGAGGGTGATGGCGAGGAGATGGCGAGGAGGAAATAAAAGTGAGCAAGAGAGTGCGAGTAAAAACTAAGAGCATGCGACTTGGAACTTGGTCAACTTAGCATCACGGACGCTGGGATGGAACTATATAGACCAAGTGTCGGGTATGAAGGCGGCTCACAGGAAAGCGGGCGATGGGAGCAGCGGATGATGGCGTTGGTATAGCCCGACCGATCCAGGACCATATCCGCCTTCCGCACATCCGACATGGGGGATTTGGATCTGGACTGGCTTTTTGCGGGATCGGGAACAGCGATGTTGCCTGAGAGCCCTCGATGCTTGCCGCGCGGATCGGTCTAAGCACACGTAGGAGATTCACAGCCGTACCGAGGCACTGCGAAAGGGAGTCAGCCACATGCTGTCCGCTATTTTCTACATTTCTCGGTGATCGAATAAGTGTTCGCATCTCAGAACCAGCGACAACCCACCAGCAGTTTCAAAGTGCCGAATATCTGTGCAGTGTGTAGACGTAAAGTGCCCAGTCAATCTATGAGTTGTTTTTTGACCCACATAGTGCATTGGAAGCCAACTCGTACGCGGTCAAGCATCATCCAAGTTCATGACATTGAGGGGCTCAGCTGACGGCGGTGGTGGCGGTGGCGAACCTTAGGCGAACTACGACTGCCTTATATGGAACAGAACCTGAATTGGGCCGAAGCTCGCCCGCGGTGTAATTCGGTACCCACGACCATGGTGTGAAAGCAAAACCAGTCGATTGGCAATACGAGAGCGCTCCACGTTCTCCGCCCCTTGAATGCAAACCATGAGCAACTTTCTCTCGAGAGTCCAAACGCTGCCCGACGCGCCCCCTCCGAACGACAATCCCGCCAGCATCAAGGGCAATGTGCCCCTCGAGCACAGGCGACACCTTGCTAACCTCATGGCCTACCACATAGCAAACCATCCAGGGAGCCGGGTCTTTGCACATTCAGAACTGGGCGGTTTAAAACAAACGGAGTTGTATGTCAGATGGATTGATGCGAGCGGAAAGGCGGAGCTGCTGCCCGAGGATCTGCCCCAGGACAGGCTGAGAAAGCTGCCGTTGCAGGGACAGACTGTCTGTGAGATTACAGTGACCGAAGGTGCGCAGATCAGCTCTGAATCAGGCTGCTTGTACTAGAGACGCGTGAAGATATGCTCAACGTCCACGGTGTCCTCGCGGGTGCGTTTGGAATGACCATGGTCGATGTGTAATCGTCATCTTCTGCTACTTGTGCGGCTGCGCTCATAGCATCGCGATTAAAGGGGCACCTTCTCGGCGCTATTTATAGTGTCACTCATGACCGGCATCGATGCTACGGGCACATCGGCCACTTTCAATCTAGTGTGGCATTCCGCCGCTAGAATGTGTGCAGGCTGTTTTTCGTCTTCATATCAATGGTGCTGAGATCCGTTTGTATAGGGGAATGGAACTGAGGATGGTCAGTACCACGCTTTCTGTTGGTGGCTCGATGATGGCGGCTCGCGCCGAGGTGAACGGTCTTGATGTATCAGCTTCCCGAAGCTGCTACTTACATCAATCTTGTGTTCTCAAGGTATACGAGAAGAAGACATCTCGTCTACTTCTATCTGCAATCCAGACTATTTCGCCATTCAACAAGAAGTCAAAAACATCAAGTTCTGGTGCCAAACTATGAGATCATCGAGCCACCTGTGATTTAACGTTTGTACGTACCGCGAATGGCCTATGTTGCGTTCTATTCTACGCACGTTTGTAAAGAAATTGCGCCCATTGATGTAGCTCATGAGCTGAGAGTTGTTAAGTATGCTTGTAGTTTATTCAATGCACGATATCTATGCGAGAGCTTGTTCTTTTGCTCCGCACTCATCTCTGCGTACCTGTGGCTGCGTTCAGTTCCGTGGATCTCAATGAAATGAATGTGAGTTCATACGTCTGGCCTGTACCATCAGCCTCGAAGACTGGATCCCATCCGAATTTCCCGTCACCCCTAGCGGGCACAATGCGCCCGTCTGTTCGGCCTTCAAACAAAATGGGCTCAGTCCCAGGTCCAGCGCTGTAAGCAAATGTGCAAAGGGCCCAGGCTGCCGTAGTTGGAAAGCCTGCGAGCAAGTTGTTTAATCCTGTATAATAATATCCTTCCGTGTCAGATAAGATGACACTCTAATGAACCTCACTCACCTTCATGGCCGAGCTCCTTGAGGAAGTATTTGATGTACGGCCCCGGCAGTCCATTGAGTGCCTCAAAACAAAGCGCACTATCCTCCGTAATGCAGGGCCCACCAAGTAGCTCTGCAGCACGGCGACATTTCGCAGCGGCAACCTCGCGAGTAGTTCCTTGAATTTCTTCAACTATAATCCAAGTCAGTGATATTAAGAGAGTTGGTAAGGAGAGCCGCGACTCACTATCGAGCTCGCGCGAGACTATCTCGACTTGCGACTCCGCGAGAATGGCGCGAACCTCTTTCAACTTGTTCGCATTTCCTGTCACGAATACTGGCATGTTGTTCAAGGCGATGTTATGCGATGCGATTAGACAAACTATTACTGACTCAAATTTCTGGACGCCATACCGCCACCTCCGAGCCAAGGCGAGTCACCACCTCTAGTCTGATAGGGTCGGGAAATACCGAATAAGGTGTGGGCCATTGTGCGAAAACGCCTGCCCTGAATTGATGCGAGACGGGCGCCAAACGCGCTCATTGTGACTTGCCACAGCGACTTCCTCCGTCGCGACGCGCTTTATGTTTTAATAATGGCCCGTAGGGTGCTATCGCATAATACCGACGACTCTCAGAAGGAAAACTCAGCTCCCAATCGCGACAGAGGCAAGACAGAACAGCCGAATCAGAGGAGAATGGCGAAGGGCAAGGAGACCGCACGTCGACGCGTGGACAGCGAGGAAGAGCACGATGCTCTAGATGCCGAGGAGTATGATCAAGGTGAAGTGGATGCGGAGGACGGGGAGGAGGAAGCTGAAGGCGACGATGACGAGGAGGACGCGTCCCCTAAGGGAAGAAAGCGCGCTCGAGCGAACACCGTAGGCGACTCGCGTCCAGCTGTTAGTCCCAAGCCAGAAAAAAAGGAGCGCATACAGACACTTCCCCGCGATACGGATGGGTACGCATTCATCTCGATTTGACTAGAGTTATCTACATTTGACCGGCGGTGCTCCGGGATGCTCACCTAGCTTCATTCCGGGATCGATTGTTCGTATCAAGCTAGAGAGTTTCGTTACATACGATTCCGTGGAGTTCCGCCCTGGACCTTACCTTAACATGATATTTGGGCCGAACGGTACAGGTAAGAGTACCATTGCATGTGCTATATGTTTAGGGTTAAACTTTCCACCAAATGTGAGTCCGCGATACTTATTCTAGGATTATACTTAGCCCAACAATTGTCACACTTGCTACGTTAGGTACTCGGTCGCGCATCGGACTTGAACTCCTTTGTAAAGATTGGAGCGGACTCGGGATTTATTGAGATTGAGCTTAAAGGCCCGAAAGGAAAATCGAATTTGGTTATCAGGCGCACTTTGACCGCGAAGACCAAGAGCTCGACTTTCACCCTGAACGGCCAGTCTGCCACGGGTCGTGAAATCCAAACTCGCATGGCTCAGCTCAATGTCCAAATCAGCAATCTCTGGTAAGCGCAAACATGTAACGACTTCGTTTCGGCGAATAAATTCATCTGTAGTACGTTCCTGCCACAAGACAAGGTGTCAGAATTCGCACAGATGTCTCCTCAGCAGCTCCTGAGAGAAACTCAGCGTGCAGCTGGTAATGCCAACTTAACGTCATGGCATGATACGCTTATCAGCTCAGGAAAGGATTTAAAGCAGCTGCTCGAGGTGATCTTCGCTGCCTTCTCAATTCTTTGTGAGTCACTCACGCAAATGTGTAGCTCCTCAATACTGCCCGTGACCAGCATAAGACCTTGCAAGACCGCAATGCTACGTTAGAGCGCGAAGTCAAAAAATACGAAGAGCGTCGTCAGATAGAACGTGACGTAGGTGCTATATTGTATCTAAGTACGCATGCGCTGATCTGGGATAGATTGAACTTCTCGAGCTTTTCTTACCCTTTAGAGAATACATAGAGGCAAAGGAAGTGTACACAGCTGCCAAAGAGGCGCAGAAGAAGTTGCTCGATCGTGTGAAGCAATTACAGGCTAGGAATGCGCCAATAGAGGAGCGGAAGAAGTATGTCCACCACGTTTCTATTTCCTATAATCTAAGTCTGTTTCAGCGCGCTGGAGAAGGAAATGAAAGAGTATGAGGAGAGGCGAAACTTGAAGAAGGCTTCAACTCGCAAGAAGTTTGACTCAATTTCGCGGAAGTGGGGTGAAGCAGAAAAGATGGTACATGCGGACGAGTAGCTGAGATGCATACGTTCTGACGTTATGCGCAGGGTGAATCGTCTGAGGATCTCAAAACGAAGCTGGAGAATCTGAAGACTGCTGAAAGAAACCGGCTCAAAGAAATAGCGAGATTGGAGAAAGCTATTAACAGTGCACAGAACGATATTGATAATCCACCGCCTATGGAGAATCTAGAGGGGGCCCATCGCGAGCTTGTAAGTATTTCGCGGATATCACTAGATTTACTTCAGCTTACTTATCTCTCGCAGAAACACGTGAGCCTTCAACGTGCGGCGCTCAAGAATCGAATTCAAGACCTGCAGGATAGACAGAAGATGAACGTATCTAAGGCATCCGATGCCAGAAACCTTGTGGACCGGAATGGAGATCAGTGAGTCGCTTGTTTGTACATTCCGTGTATTGCTTGACAAATTCGCATTCAATAGATTGAGACAGCTAGACGACGCCAATCATAGGAAATTAGAAGGCCTGGCTAGATGGGACGGAGACTGTGCCAATGCCGTACGATGGTTGAGAGCCAATCGTCACCGATTCAAGATGGAAGTTTTTGAGCCTCCCATTCTTTGCTTGACAGTTCCTGACAAGCGGTTTGTCAATGCTGTTGAAGCTTGTTTTGGGACATCTCAACTGAAGGTAATGATCGAGTCCGATGTTGTGTCTCTACTGTTAATATCTTGCTAGACTTTCGTTGCTCAATGCGAGGAGGATTATCGGTTGTTCAATCACGTATTCGCTGACACACCAGAGGCTCTTGGGAAGAAAGTCCGTCTTCATACGTGGTTCAGACCTGTGGATGAGAATCTGGTAGGCGCTCCGCCTTTGACTGAACAGGAGGTTAGTGTACTTGACGGTCATGCGCGGATGTTCCTCACATTTGCTTCAGATGCGTGAATATCATTTTGACGGATATGCGATTGACTACGTCAGCTGTCCTGAAGGTCTGAAGTGGTTTCTGAGGAACAACATGCAACTTCATCGAGTTGTAAGTAGATTTCAGTGATTACTCACTGTCCGACTTATCGCAGACGTCATTATCATAGGCAATTGCTCTCGATCCGCGCATCGTAGATCCCGCTCGTACAATGGAGATTATGTCTAGCGGCGACGGATCTACTAACTATGTCGTCGGAAACGTCTTCAACAGTGCTAGCCGTTCGAGGTATGGAAAGCGTTTAGCGCAGACCTCCACTAGAGAGATCAGACAAGCAAAGAACCTCGTGTCAGTTGCTGGTAAGCGGGCCGTTCAACAATGGGCTTTGCACTGATGACATGCAAAACGCAGTCGATGAGGAAATCAAAAGGCGTGTCGAGCGGGCCCTTGCCGAGGCTAGGGACACGGTGTTAGCTTGTGAGAATGAGGCCACGCAACTTGCTGAAGAAGAGGCCGGCATCCGGCAAGAAGATAAAGTTTTCAAGGATCAAATCGTCAGTGACTTCACCGACTGTTCTAACACGTCTGTACGATAACAACTTTAGGACGGGCTTCAATCTCGCATCAGCAAAGTCTTGGAGCAGCAAAAGAGACTCACGAATCTGAAATTGAAGATGGGTAAGTCCCCTGGTTTCTGCTCGCACACTCTGCTCATACATCTTCGTCATAGAGCGTGACGTGTCCAAGCTAGACGATTTGCGTCTCAAGCCCTCCGTAGACGTGGAACGCGCTCGCTTGAAGCGAGAGCTTCTGAATTTGGCACGCAAACGAGCCGATCATGCAAAGGATTATTTGGTATCGACAACCTTTATGCGCAACATAACGTCCGCTCTGACGCAATCAATTTAGACTCTCATTCGTGCAGCGATCAATGAGCAAGAAGAAGCAACATGCTTGGGATTGCAAACAACCCAGATTGCTGCTAACAAAGTCGCTCTCGAGGCGCTGCATAAGGAGAAACACGAAGAATATCAGAAAGCTCTTGCCCGATGGACTGAAGGTAGGTCAATCATTATTTGTTTTCCTGCTACGACTGGACTGTCACACAGCCAAAAAGCGCTATGAGGCTGCGAAACAAGATTCTAAAGAGAAGCTCGAGATCAGCAAACAAAAATTAGACTCGGTCGATGATGATATCCGGGAGCGCTTCCGTTTGATGGAGCAGGTTCGTCTTTCTTTCTGTATGGGAATGTGTCCCCCTGAGCGACTTCCCCAGAGCGGAGAGGCAAGTGAGAAAACGGCTGATGAGGTCCAGACGGAACTCGCTGCGAAGAAGGCTCAATTGGAACTGAACAATCAGACCAACGCAGGTGTCGTCGATCAGTACAAGAGGCGTCAGGCCGAAGTCAGTCCTTCTACCTTGGGATTTTCCGATGTCGCTGATCTGCCATCAACTAGATCGAAGCTCTGAGTACGACCATTGCAGACAGGGAGAAGAGAATCGAGCGGATTGAACGGCAGATCAAGTCCGCAAGAGTATGTCCTGTATTGTCGATCAATTGGTATATGTCTAATGGCACACAGAATAATTGGCAACCTGCTCTCGAGGCATTGGTACAAAGTATCGGCCAGAAGTTCTCCGCAGCCTTCGACCGTAAGTGATTTTGCCACTCGCAAACACGAATCAACGCTCATTCTATGCAGGACTGGGTTGTGCTGGCGAGGTCAGGATAAGCGAGAATGAAGACTACGATAAATGGGCTATTGATATTTTGGTCAAATTCCGTGACCACGAGAAGCTACAGCTTCTGACAGGCGAAAGACAGTCTGGAGGAGTAAGTAAGCCATTTACACTTGCTTCTTTTCTGACCCCTGCTTTAGGAGCGATCTCTTACCACCATTCTCTACTTGATGAGTCTTACCGAGGAGGCTCGTGCGCCATTCTCGCTTGTCGACGAGATCAACCAGGTCAGCACTCCGCACGATCATATTAAAGGGAGCTAGCTAACCATAGCATCTGTTATAGGGTATGGATCAACGAGCTGAGCGTGCCGTCCATAATTCGCTTGTCGATGTCACCTGCAAGGCCGATAGCGGACAGTACTTCCTGATTACGCCGAAACTCCTCCCGGACCTCAATTACGCCGAGCGTATGAAAGTTCTGTGCGTGAACAACGGAGAATGGCTGCCAGAAGAGTCGCCTAAGATGGGCAACATGATGAGCTTGATCAATGGGTATTTGCAGCACAATCGAGCAAACGCATCGCCGTAGATGTCGAGACTGGTGCATGTGCGCCAACAGTAACTTATTCGCTACATCTTATACCTTGACTATACCTTGATGATCTCATAGTTATGTGTACACCTTAGTAGTAATTAGTTAGAGAAAGCAGAAATTATACTGACAAGACTAGAGGCTAAAGACAATAAAAGGGTTTCAGACTGGTTCAAATTGTAGAATATTGGCAACAACCAGGCTGATTGTTGCTTTGATCTTTGGGTTGATGGTCATTTTACAGATGGTACACTGGTGCAGAAAAATAAAATACAGTGCACTTGTGGTGTGTAGGTGTCTGAGACAGTTCTTGAAGCTTCCAGCTCTCAAGGGTGCCGAAAGTGAACCATATGCTGTTATTAATTGAGCTTTATTATAACTCAAGGAGTGAGTGTACAACATGAAGATTGCTTACCTTGAACTATTCAACACACATTTTGCAGGCTTGAGGGACAATCCCCAAAAGTGAGTGCAAAGAACTTGCACGCCACTACTATGACAAATCCAGACACCCTTGATGACAAGGCTGCTGAGCTCGCTCAAATATGTGTATATGCTCTAAGGCGAAAGGGATTATTGATTTAATATTCTGCTATATATACGAGAATGATTCTCTTTTGCAGTAGCAATGCATTGGGTCAGCACATCTTGGCCTCCAACAACCGTAAGCCCGAGTTGGGCAACGGAAACCAGATCTCCGTTCTCGTCGACGACTACGGAAAGCGTGGTGTCCAGCAGGGGCTCTTCAAAAGACGTCGGGTCCGCAAGCACGTGTGTTCTGTGTGAAGTGCGGTCAGAAGTGAATGGGAAAGGCTGTGGGAGTACCACGCACGAGTCGAAAATGCCGAAGGACATTGAGGTCGGCGATCGGCCGAGTTGCAACGGCTGCTTGACCTTGCGCGAGCAGGTGGTGCGGCCTGTCTCTTCGTCGTACGTCGCCTCGGGGAGTTGAGCTGTCCAATATTTCATGTGAGAAAACAATCAGCGGGCCAGTCGAGCTGGGGCGCACTGTTCTTTAGGGCTGCCACCATGGCTAACAGTGTCGCGTCGAACGCGTTTCCGTCGTAGTTGATACACGTCGCGTCGACGTATAATACCCACACCGCCTTGCCTCGCGCAATGCATAAAGACGATGTGGGCAGGATTCCGGAGCTGCCGCGTGCGTCGGTCAATCACGGCGTAGGCCGTCGAAATCACCACTCAGCGACTCACGCAATGAGCGCCTCATTGAGCCTGTCTGAGAGCACCTGTGCCTCTTCGGTGGGAGGACCTGGCTTGAATTTTGGAGAGCAAATCGCGGGAAGGTCCAAGTTCGGAACTGCGCGACAGTCTTGAGGGGATGCTACGGGCACTCGGGAGACTAACGGACTCACCAAGAAACCCGTCCCCTGGACTATCCAGCTCAGGCTCTGCTATCTCTGCCTTCACACCGCACACGATCGTCGTGTCCCCCAGACGGACGAGTGCCGACCCGTCGGCAGTAGATATCGAGCCTGGGTGCGAATTAAAATGAGAGAGCGCCTTCATGGGACTGTATAACACGGACCTACATTCACCGAGACGTCCCTCCATTCTTCGAATCCGCGGCCATCGGGTCGGACGTTCTCTGCAAGGAACCGTTCAAGATAGACTTTAGGATGAAGACGCTGGAATGTCGCAGCTCGGAGTGCGTCTTGTTCGGTCTGGCTCGTCGAAGTCGACGGCTGGGACATGTTATGGGCGTTTTCCCAGTTGAGAGCAACAAAATTGAGACCGTGCAGTTATCAGCCGACACGTCTGCTAGGCGGGAACTGAGACTACGCGGCAAAGTTTGCAAAGTGCAGATCTGACCAATTGTCTGTGCTACACCAGAATACAGACGCACTAACAGGTTAGTTAAACTCAGGTGCAAGAAACAGACACAGGAGCAAGATGAAGCAGACGAAGATGGCTGAGAGCTCAGTCTGAGTCGGCGCGAGTGCACGCCGACGGGTTCGGCAATTTCCCTAGATACTCGGGCTCTCTTGGCAGCGAAGGATATTGTATCATCTTCGCATATTCTAGTACAACCAATCTTGCCTGTAGATGGTCCTTCAACCCCATTAATCATACATTTATCTTTCGTTCTACATTTTCCCACTCCTCTCCCGCTCAGATAAGGCCTTTGCAGACTGCAAGCTCAGCGTTGAGAACGCTGCTCGTGGCTGCACCAATGGCGACGTTGTTTGCGAGCACGACAAACTTGATGTCCAGCACCCTACATTGACGGACACGTCCAACGCTCACCCCGGCACCCGCCTGGTAGTCGCGATCCAGCCGCGGCTGTGGCCTGTCGGCCTCCTCGTGCACGAAGATTGTGTGCCGCGGAGCGGACGGACAAGACAATGTCCAGGCATCAGACGTGAAGCCGAGTAGGGCTTCGCGGACCTGCTGCGGGCTCGGCGGTGGCCTGCGCGCGAAGCGCACCGAGACGCACTCGGTGTGGCCCTCGATGACGGGGACGCGATTGCAGGATGCGGAGACACGGAGGGGCTGCTTCGCGTGCATGTCGAACTCCTTGCGGCCGTCGTCGCCCTCGGTGATCCCACCGAGGATTTTGAGTGTCTCCCATTCCATCTTCTCCTCCTCACCGCTAATGTACGGCACGACATTGTCGATGATGTCCATGCTGGGCAGCCCGGGGTAGCCGGCGCCTGAGATGGCCTGCATCGTGGTGACCATGCATGACTCGATGGGGCCAAAGGCCTTTTCAAGGGCGGCGAGGGGCACAACAACGCCGGTGGTAGAGCAATTGGCATTGGTGACGATGAAACCCTTTTGCAGAGGTGGTGAATGCAGAGCACGCTGCTGGTGCACCATGGATAAGTGCCTCGGGTTGACCAGCGGCACTATGAGGGGAACATTGGGATCTCGTCGGTGGTTCTTCGCGTTTGAGAACACGGCGAAATCTGCACTCCGGAAACGTTCCTCTAGAGGCGCATTAGCTGCGAACAGGGGAGCGAGGCAGGGAAACACACCGATCGGGCCTGCGACATCGGCGTCCAAACCGGAGAAAACAACCTCACAGTCGCTGAAAAACTCCGGGCTGCACTCGTGTACGGCCACATCTCGTACGACGGCGGGGATGGGTCTCGTTTGCTTCCATGTTACTGCGAGGGCGTATGTCTTCCCTGCTGATCTCTGCGACGCACCGAGGGCATGGAGGACAAAGAACGGGTGGTCTGCGAGGAGGACAACGAAACGCTGGCCGACGGTGCCGGTTGCACCGAGGACGCCGACTTTAATCTTGCGGCCGTCGTGCATGGGAGATGGAGGAGAGGATGAGAGTTGGCCGGCGACGCTCAGATTTCGAGTTCGGACGTCTCTCAGCTTGTCACGCCAGGCTGGGGCTGGCAGCTGGAGTCTGGAGAGGGTGTGACACACGGGGCGTGACGCGTCGTGATCCCGGTCGATCGATATGCGGTCACACGGGTTGAGTGTCGACCACGATGTCCGCCACCGCGACGACCCCCGACGAGGCCGCGCAGCTCCTCTTCCCGCCCAACGTCCAGTACAACAACAATCACGTCTCTACACTCAAATTTCTCTCTGCTTGCTTTGCTGGCGCCGCTGCCGGCATCCTCGGTCTTGAGAACGCGCTCGGATTTGCGCTCTTCGTTTTGTCGACCCTCTTTACGTCCGCGTGCCTCTATGTGAAGTGCAAGGGCAAGCCGACAAAATATATACCCGGCGGGTGGTGGGAGCTGGTGAGGCCGAGTCAGGAAAACATGTTCTCATTTATTCTAGTGTGGACGCTATTCTATGGTGCGGCTGTATTGTCGTCGGAGACCGGAGAGCATATATTGACGCATGTTCCCCTGGATGACGCAGGGATTGTGCACGGTGCGTATCCTGTGATCAAGAACCGTAGCCGAGATGCGAGCTGACCCTTGCTTCAGTGTATGATTGACCTGCTGCTGGGCCGAATTTCGCATGCACGCGCCGCCAGACCATCGCCCTAACTCCTCCCTGGTGCGTTCTCTTGCGCCCAACACCTTCTTGTATCCGATTTGATACTTCTGCTCCAGATGCGGTGCACACGGCGCTTCCCTGGTCGTCCAGACAGGTCCTCGCGTCCGCCCTGGAATACGGCATAGCCAGCGAGATCAGATCCCAGTTCCCAGTGTTACGTACCCGCAGGTCGTGTAGCTACGTTTTCGTCGTCGTGTCACCGTCCTTACGAGCTGCAGAACAAGACATGATCTTTCCTAGAGCCCACCTAGCCTCGCGAGAGGCAGAAAGAGCTCATTCCGCCCAGACGGTGCCGCTATCCGCCTGCTGGTGGATGTCGAGATCAAGAGGTGGTTCGCTGAGATATAATCGTGGGTAAGAAGGGAAGAAAAGATGATGTGTTTCAGAGATCACCACCGTCGTGTTACAGATTCATGCTGCAGCCAATCGATAGGCCATGGCGCACTCGTGGCCCGCACGTGGCTCCCGGCTCAGCGCGCCTCCTTATTTGGGATGCATTGTTCAGAACGAGATGATTATGAATTCATGATACGAACCTCTGCCGCCAGAATATGAGCCCCCGTGCGCAATCCGCGGGCTCGGTCTGCTTTCCGCTCTATCATGTCAGCTCCTTGTAGTCTCCTCCAATACAGTGTAGACCCATGGAACGCCAGGTTTGAGGACATCGAGAGCCGCCTTGCCTTCACTGTGTACGTCTCTCCCGCCCTTCCGCCCCTCCCCTATTGATGACCGTCGCATCGCGATGCAGGACAATGGTACGTCCGTACCCCGTCCCGGGGCCGTCGGAATTAACGGTGCCGCCCCCACGCAGGTGGAGGAAGACCCCAACCTCATTATGCGACTCACACGAGAGAAACCATGGGCAGAACAAAACGCCGATAAAATCATGGGCCCCAGCAACTCTTACTTCTACTTTGGCCCCTCGCGCACTCCGGGATATCTCGTCTACGGCAACAGCCCACAGCAGTCCATGGTAGACGCGTGGCGCCAGAAGAAGGAGAATAGCACGTATGCACAATGGCCCGCACTCATCGGCCTGCTTCTTATCGCTGATTCTGCTCTACAATTCTCCGTGCAGCTCGCGGTATTTCACTGCCCAGAACGGGAAAGAGTATAAGTGGAGAGGACGGGACGCCCCACGACGCTTCGAGGTGCGTCTGCCTGCCCCCCCACAGTTATCGGATTCTCTTTAGCCAGATTTTCAGTGCTGTGACAGTAAGGGGCTCACGGTGGCGCTGTGGGAGATCAGTCAACTCGAAGACGAATTCCATGCCAGGTTGACCGTCCAACACTCGGCACTCGCCATTATCACGGAACTCGTGACAACGTTGACCCTCAACCGCATTGCATTGATTTTGAATTGGTGATTCAGTTGCGTGTTGCCGCTGGGGACTGCCCCCCCTTACTTCCTTCTAATACCCGCCTCATAACGTGTTTGATTCGTTCCATTTGATCGTCTGTCCGAGATCCAGACACATTTTTGCGTATCTAGCTTGCTGCGATTACATACCTTCCACCACGCAATTGGCAAGTCTTATCACCGACGACCGAACCTCCCTGCTGAACATGACTTCCGTGAGGGCCTCGTGTCACACCATTGCGAACCCTACACACACAAGTCTACGGCAAACACACCTGCCGACCTCACTCGGGCTGATTGCAACCCAACAACCGCCCACCAGTCTTCTAGCCTTCCTTGCGAACGTCTTCTTGTAATACGATCAATCGGGACCACTCCGGTTCGTCCTCGAAATCCTTCGTCCGTCCTATAAACGTCCGCACTATGCTTCGTGCCTGCAGCCTCCAATTGAACGACTCTGCACGTGGCCCGAAATTTCTCAGGACATCGACGATATCTTCCACCTCCGTCACAGCCTCTCGCCACTTCACCACATCTGTCTCCCCCTTTTCCATTGTCCCCGCGGCACTGCATCTGTATCCATCCAGGTAAGCATTCAATGCGTCCTCCCACCGTCCTTGCCAAGTCAGCAAGCGCGCCCACGCCCGAAAGATTCGTGGCGAAGATACACGCGGTAGAATGGTGCGCTCGAATAGGTCAGTAACGCGCCTTAGCAAGCCGTGCCCCTCGTTCGGATTGTGCATGGGCTGAGCGTTGTTCCCGCCACCCTCCACAGCTTCTGCAGGGTCTGCGGGTGCTCGTGTGACAGCATCTACGAGGCGCTCTAGTACCTCTTCGTCTACGCATCCTGCGCCATCTTTTGTGCTGCGCTCTTCCACGACGCGGCCTAAAGCGCGGCACGCCTCCGATAGCTCGCCGACGTCCATCGCGATGACCATGTAATTGTTCCACATTCGCCAATTCTCGTAGGAAAACTTCAACCCTTGTTTAAGTGCACGGAATGCAAGCATCTTGTTACTGAAGGGTATGCTCCCGCTTGACTCATCGGAGATCGTTAGATCCGCCACCTTCTCTTCCACCTGCTCAAGCGCAAGATCAAAACGCTGCAGCCTCAGTCACATGTTTGATACGCCATACCTTGCCGTCTCCTGCCTCGTCATCTTCCGGCTCGACCTTTTTTCCCGTCTCGCCCATACGCAGGTAGACACTCGCAAGATTGTTCCAGCTCTCTCCGTCTTCGTCATCGATCGTAACGCACCGTGTGAACCCCTCGCGCGCACCCTCCCAGTCCTCGACGCGCACGTATGCACAACCAAGGATAAACCACGAACGCGCAAGCAGGGGGTTGATGGCGACCGCACGCCTCAAGCATGCAATCGTTTCCGGATATTCTGCCCGGGCGAAATGGAACCCGCCCAAGGAGCGCATTGCGCGCCCGGACGTTTCCGCGGACACGGCCCAGGCGTGCTCGTAATGCTCACGCGCGTGCTCAGGCTCCAGGTCGCCGAGGAGACACCACAGCTTCGCCTCTCGCGCGGCATCAAGCGTACGGCGGCGCTGTTCGGTCGCGCTCTTGGCCTTCCCGCGCTCGAGGACGACGTCCGCCTCGGCCTTGCGGCCCTCAAGGAGGTCGCGCACGATTGCAATGCCGCGGTCGCGCCGCTCCATACTCTGCCAGCAGCGGACGACGTCCTCCCACATCTCGAGCCGCTCGAAGATCTCGAGTGCGGACTTGACGACACCGAGCGAGAGGAAGCGGCGGGCGAGCTCGTGCTCCATCTCCCAGCGGCTCGGGAGCGGGAGCGCGTGCACGAAACGCAGGCGCTCCGCCGTTGGGGAGTCGGCCGTGGGCATTTGGTCGACGAGCGCCTGGAGCTGCAGCGTGGACCGCTCTACTGTGCGCGTGCGTGTAGACTCGAGGCGGGAGCGCAGGAGAAGGGCCATGGTATGCACCGACCAGTTGCGGGGATGCGAAATGACGCGCGCGACGTAAGGGGACATTTGCTCGGCGGTGATGCCGTGCGAGGGCGACGTGTTGCGGACATTAAGGCACATGGCGAGCAAGATACATTGGTCTAGTGGGTGCAGGGCCGGCTGCGATGACGGATTAATGTGATTTAGGCGAGAGGTGTTGGTTGCTGTGGAAGAGGACGTAAATTCGGTTTGCTCTAATAGTGTATCGTCGTTTAGGGCGAGGGTCTCAGGAATTGTTACGTCGTTCCCCGCCGAATCAGAGTCATCGGGCATCGATTTAGCGCTTGATTCAGCCGTGTCCGGGCTTTCGGGTGGACAGTCCTCCCTTTGGCGGGATTCGGCGAGCAAGACGAGCTGGGTTATGTCATTCTGCTGAAATTTGGTGCGCTTTCCGAGGGCCCCAGTAAGTTCGTATTCTAGTTGTGTCGCGCGAGCCGCGCGGACGAAATACTCTGCCGCTGTCTTGTCGTGTCCCAGAAGATGCTCGAGCAGGCCTTGCTCAAGGGTGAGAGCACCGAAAAGATCGGGCTCGGATGAGAGGTTTTTCAGCAGCGGCTCAACAGATGATAAGACGCCCGGGGGTACTGCAGTAGGTTCATCTAGTACCTGCTGGTGGACAAACCAAGTACGAAGTCTCCACCAGGGCGCGGTCTGGCAATGATGATAAGGGATGTCGAAGAGGAGTTTCGCGAGTCGGAGGAAGATGGGGTTTTTTGATAAATGGTACGCTGGCTCCCCGCCATAAGCAAGCTCCGCAGTGGATTTTTGATTCAATAACTCCTCAGTTATAATCTGAGATAATTCCGGAGGAACCGAGATAACCTCCAGAGGCTGTACATCCACATCAGGGCCCGTCCAATTTGCCTGGATGAAAGCATGCAGACATGCGGCTGCGAGAGTTAATCGGAGGAGCTCGTCCTCCTCGGAGAGGGCTGATGTGGTGGGGGTAAAATCAAACCACTTATCTAGGGGGAGATCCGCGCAGTTTTCGGAAGTGCCTTTTACGTGAATTGTGAATAAACTTCGAGCGGCGGATGATGTGAGCGGGTCGCGGAAGGCGCCGTTAACGACATTTTTCGCGAGCTCAACGGTCGAGGGCGGCCACGGATGCTGGAGTCCATCGTCCCAGACGGCGGCGAGGAGGGCGCGCTCGATGGGCTGCATCCTGCCTGCTCGATCGAAGAATGTATGAAGAGGCATCGGCATTTGCCGCCCGCCCTCCGCCTGCCCAATCTAGCGGCTATTGGTCGGATCTCGATCGACGAATGACACACTTTTGACAGGCTAGAAACGGGGGAAATTATTCAAAGGGTATCGAGGAGGAAATAAATACATAAAGCCTATCCGTAGAACAATGACACAAACTAAAGATACGCGACAGTTACATTATACCGCTAACCCGTCCCCCACAAGTTACAACTCATCGGCCGTTGGTCGGCGCACCAGGTCCCAATGAACGCGCAATCGTCTTGCGCTTGTCTTCCCAAGCCCTCAGCGCACGTAACAGCTGCACAATCTTCTCATGCTTCCCTTGCCGAATGTCGTTAATGCTGACAGTACCCATCTTTACGTCGTTGTCCAGGAGAAAGTCGAACAGCCTGAACAGTCCATCTAGTTTCTCGTCGTTGGGTCCAGATGGGAACGCGCTGTCTGGAACCCGCGGGGACGATGGTTTGCCTTTGATATCCTCCGCCAGTCTGAGGAGAGCCAGACCACCGAAAATTGGTCCAGCTGGATCTGATAATTGTAATGCCAATGGTAAATGAGAGTTCGCCCAATCGATCAACTCAGTGTCAACAGGTCCTTGCTGAGGTAAATCTCAGTTGAAGTCGCAAACCATATAATCGCATCTGCTCACCGATTCAGATTTAGAAGTGAGTCTCCTCAACTCCCGCGACGGTCTGGGTGGAGCCTTCCCTGAGGTGGCCAGCTTCGGAGATCCAGGTTCTGAACCAGCGGTTGATATCGTGTCATTCGTAAAGAACGACTCCAGCCGCGCACGTTCAACTCCACCCTTATCTTTCGCTTGCACACCCATAAGTAAGACTTGTGCGTCCCTTTGAGATAGTTGATGCGGATTCTCAGCACGCATCGCTCGCTGAGTGGCGGCGCGGGCCGTAGGAGAGGGTGGTCGAGGCGCGGGATTCATGGCCTGCGCAACAGCCAGAGGAATTGTAGGGATATCACAAGAAGAGACAACTAGATCTATCAACGAACAGTCAGGGACCAAATGTAACTTCATGAAGTAGACATACCGCTGTAATCTCGAGTGATCGTGGCCTTCATGAGTGCCTTCATCCACTCACGGACAACGATCTGATCTTCTGAACTAAAGCAATGCGTCTTATCGCCCTCGTGGATGATCCGGAATCCATAACGGCCAGGATCGAGGTCTTCATCCATGCAGACCTTGTAGCCTTCGATGTTTACGTACGCCTTGATCTTGCTTTCCTGATGAGACCCGGAACATAAGCACCAAATCCATCCACATACAACAGGGCCTACCGTCTTATTCTTGCTTCTAAGGATATATAGATGCGGACCTTTGAGCACACAGTATCGCGCTTTCCACGTGTTGTACCGATCACCCCTTTTACGCATCCAGCCTTCGTGGTCAGGCGTTCCGATCTGATCCAGGATGCTCTGACCTGGCTTGAGCGCGGGTGCGCCTTTACCAGGAGAAACAGGCACCACTGTGGCCTTTGTAGGACCCACTGTAGATGCAGTCCGCTTGCGCAGTACCGCGGGGTCCTCCTTATCTTTAGGCTTGTCGGCCTCCTTAACCGGTTTAGGCTCCTTCTCCTTACTCTCATTCACCTCTCTGATGGAAGGGATCCGCTGAGACTTCTCTCTGAGGGTCCCGTCGGCAGTCGACGGACGCCCCCCTGGCTTCTTTTCGCGAATGCGCGAAAACGCACTGTGCTTCTCTTCCGGGGACTTCTCCTTCTCGTTCTTCTCCGACGTACTGGAACTTTCATAAGTGCGTTGAACCCTGGAATGATGTTTAAACATACCTGGAAAGCCTCGGGGGCGGCTTCCGGCTTTTCCCACCCTTGCCTAGCGTTCCTGAGAAAGAAGTCCCGAATAGACTCAAGCGGTCCGAGGGCTTACGTCCGTCCACACTTTCCCGTTTCTTCGATGTCCGCCTATTAACAATGGATGCGCTCTCATTTGAGGGCTCGGACTTGGTGTCCGTGGGCGAAGCAGCCGTCGAGACAGGCGCGGATACAGCGGTTGACGCGGTTGGTGGTGACGGAACGGAGCCTGTGTCTTTCGAGTGTCGGCTCCCGCTGTCACTGATTGTAGATCCTGCCTTGACTGAACCCGACTCGCTACGCCAAAACCGACGCTTCTTATGTTTGGAATCCGCCGGTAACGTGTCGCTCTGTAGTAATTAAATTTTATTGGTGAGTGAGTGAATATCCACGTATCATGCAAAAGAACACTAACCTCGCTCATCACTGCTCGTTCCTCATCCGCGGCTGTTGTGCCATTAGTAACATCAGTCGTGGATGCTATGGCGCTGTCGCTGGGCGAAGGCGACAGAGCAAGACGACCAGGAAGCTATTTCAAGTCGCAAGGTCAAAACAATCAGGATCATCAACAGTCGTAAAGGCGCTAAGGATCTCACCGAATCTTTTCCGTTCATGAGCGATGGCTGCAGTCCCAAGCCGAGACCCATAGTGGCAGCCTTTCGTACTTCGACTGAGCCGCTCTCTTGTTCTTCGGCAGTAACAGTAGTCTCAGCCTCGCTCGTAGGCCATCCATTCTTCGGCTGTAAATCAGCGGTGTGTGGTGCCTCTGAGTTTATCATAGACACAACACCGGGACTAGGGAATCCCTGAGCGCTCGGTGCGTACAAGGGGGAGTAAGCCCATGCCGAAGATGCCTGGGTCGGTGCCGAGCTCTGCATGCTGGCGGAATGAGAATGAGAGTAAGGCAGCGAATTGCCAGTTTGTGAACGTGGCGTCATCACGCGAGCGGGCGTGTGCGACGGAGACTCGAAAATCGACGACGGACGACGGAGCTCGGTGATAGCATTGACAATGCGTGCGCGCTTGCCGAATGCGACGATCCCGATCTCGGTCTTGAGCACGTTAGCATCAAGCTCAAGGAGGACATCACCTGTGATCTCTTGTTCTAATTTCAGACGGTTCGGTCAGAATACGCAGTAATCAGCATTTCGTAAGCTGAACACACCAATGAACTTATCGCAAACGCCTTCGTCAAAGCCTTTAGACTTAAGCCACTCAATCACTTGCTCAACTGACCATTCTGAGGGATGACCTTCCGGCCTTTCTTTCTTGGCATCCAACAGTGCTGCACCTTTGGCGTCTGCTGAATTCCTATGTGACGTAGCAGGCGTCAATGTCTGTTGGATGCCGGCGGAACCCATGCTCATAGAACCCGCGAAGGACGAGGCACTGGGAGAGGGCAATGGTGAGGCAAAAGGTGCGTCAGAAACGCGGATTGCACTGGGTGTAGGAGTAACCATTTGTGGCATGCTTAATGTTGAAGCTGAGGCGGCCTGCGTCGTGAGGGGAGATGCTCGTGTCAGAGGAGGATACGATGTAGCCCTTGCGAGAGCAGCAAGTCCTCCCGTCGGGGGGACTGCAAGACTAGTCTCCGACACAGGGGAAGGTTCGTCAACCTGAACAGCAGGGGACGCGGGCTCGTTCTCCTCGACTGGATTCGGGTTAATTTGTGCGTCCGGGAATGTAGCCCGTTCCGCTCGAGCTGTAGGAATCTCACTTTCGTCTGCAGCTGGCGACGGTACGATAAACTCTTCCGAGGGAACGATGTTTGCCGTGCTATCTCTTGATCCCTGGCTACGTAAAGGCAGCGGTTGCTCGGTCACTGTGATGACTGGTGGCGGCGATCTACGGAAGTTCATAGTTGCACTCGCAGATCGCGAGTGCCTTGACGAAAGGCCAGCCGCCTCCTGCTCTTCATCTTCTTCCGATATATGTGAATATTTGACACGACCCAAGCTGGCACTACGAGGACTCGAGCTCTTCTGCGGAGGGCTTTGAGAGCGACGAGTGCGCACCACCTCCTCGTCGTCACTCTCGTCACTCACTTCGACATCAATTGGCGGCGCTACTATGCGCATCGGCGTCGTTGGATCCGCACTTGGTCTTAATTCTTGCCTAGATGTGTCTCTTTCCTTTGCCTCTCGCTCCTCATTTGCTTGTTGCGCCTTGAGCGCCAACTTCGTTCGCGCACCTCTTGACCAGCCGAAAGCATGCTCCTCGCCATCTTCATCCTCTTTATCGGTGTCTTCAGCTTCAGAGTGGTCTGTAGACTGCGAGTGGGAGCTCGCAAAGCTAAAACTCCTTGTCCCGTCATCACCTCCCCGCCCTAGTTGCTCTATTGCTTTCTGAACGTCGGTCATTGTTGCCTGCATCATCTCTCCGCTACCCCGCCCGCCTGTTTCATTGCTAGTCGTTCCTCGATCGCTTGTGGATATCTCTTCGGTGCTATTGCTGAGAATGGGGTCTGCAGTATTGCGTATAGAGCTTGGTGTGCCTGTTGAGGGGTTTGTGATCTGCGTGACAGTTGGACCATCTACGGTGGACGACGAAGAGGAGCCATTCGCGCTGCTTGCGGTGGCACCAACGGACGACGTATTCGGAGGAATTGAGGAGGTGTAACTTTCTGGAAATAAGCCGACAACTCCAGCAGAATTGCGTCCCTGGAGAACGAGAAAGGAGTGTAATGTGGTCAACATCAGGCTGGCGGTGTTGGGAAAATCCAGTGGGAAGATAAAGACAGCAGAAGCCGTTCAGACCATAAGTACGATGGTCATTTGGGCACAAAACAAATACTGTCTCCTGCGCTTGAACCTCCTGTAGACAATGTTTAATTAGCTTACCTGCCACCAGCCATCGCCGTATAAGTCGTCCTTCTCAACCACCTCTATACGTTCGCCCACTTTGAGAGCAACCTCATCCGGATTTTCGGGAGTAAACTCGTGGACTACGTATACAAATTGAGGCATGGCCTCTGCTTTGTATAGTCGTATATCGACTCGCGCGATTTAATGTGTATGGTGTCCGAGTTAGATGCCAGACGACGTCAGTCTTATCCAAGAGTGAAGATGAAAAATCAAAACAGAACGAGAGTGCGAGATAGCAGACGAGAAAGGAGAACCAGAAAGAGGGTCAGCTGTGGACAATGCTCGGGCCAGTCCAGTTGCAATATGGGTGCCCGTTGGGTTCCCGGGACGTTCACGCGTCACAAACAACCCGAGGATTCGGTTGATGATTTCCTCCACCGCTAGCCTTCTTTTGGAGATGTTATATCTTCATATGGTAGTATACAAGGGATGTAATAATTGCATCGTAACAAGCTTCAGTCAAATAAAGGTATGCTAAGATTATTTAGTAAACTCAGTAAATAGCTTTCAACGAGAACGAGAACACCAGACACACCAGGCTAAGCTCCACCTCGCCCAAGTCGGTCTAACTGGTGATGTCCTCTCGTCGGTACAATACAGTACATGACCATGCAGCTCTTCGTCTACACCCGGACGGTACTCGTGTCAAGAACGCTGATGTAAATCAAATTTCACGCAGAGGCAAATACTCTGTCCGCGATGTGAGAGGCAATTGGATTGCACAGGACGCGGGGGGTCTTGGAAGGGTAAAGTTGCGACGGTCCATAGCTCACTTGGACCATGCGGACGACAGTCATGAGGGCGAGACACATGATCTGGCTGGGGCTGGGTTGACACAGGGCGAAGACAAGGAAGACACCACAAGAGACGGTGGCGATGACACCCTAAGAGATCGTCGGGCGAAGAAACGACGCAGATTTTATTCAGATTGGACTTTTTTAGAGACACCTGGTGGGAGTACAAGCAGTACGACGCCCGCCTCAGCGCCCGCTGGGCAATCATCCGTGATCCAAGACCATGTCATTCACGAAGAACTGCTAAAGCCCCCATCCGTGAGTCGCACTTCACCCTATTATACCTAGGAATATTCATTGTACTATGCAGGACCTGCTGAAATACATCCACTATTTTGCAAGCGCATACTATGATGCCATGGGACAGCTTCGCGATGTCACCAAAGATGTACAACAAAGGAAGATGGCAAGAAAGTTGGCTAGACTGCAGGCCGGCGGAGAAGAGCAGTCCCAATCGGAACAGAATATAGAGACAACGCATAGACGATTAAATAACGACGATGTGCAACATGACACAACTGATGAGGAAAGCAGCTCTAGCGAGGATGAATCGGACACATACGATGATCACCAGTCTCGAAATCAATCCCGGTTGCAGCGCAACGACAAACCGAATATGTATAAGGCGTTTGACGGTTCAGCTCTTATGACAATTGGTCAGTTACGGGATGCCTTCATGGTGTGTTAATTGACAGGCTATTTGTTCAGGCATGCTTGTGCAGGAACATATTCGCCAATTGTTGCAGCCGTCCATTCCAGATAAATGGGAAGTGGACACGGCGGCATTGGAAGGAGCGAAGGCACTTAATGGCCGTGCAAATGGTCGGCGCCGTCGAAAACCAAAGGGATTATTCGGTTCCGATGAAGACACAGCTGAGGATGGAGATACCAGTGACGAAGATAACGAGGGATTTGAGAACGTCCATATTGAAGGAATCGGAAGGGAAACCAGAGGTGTCGACCTCCCACAGTTCGAGATACCATACGAGGACAATAATTCGGAGGACGAGGACTACACACCCGATTAGAATATTGCAATGCCGATGTAATTAGCCATGAAGACAGAGACATGATCAATTCACTGCTAGCTCTAAGTTAGCGGAGAGTACCATCCTCCCATCGCTTCAGGATATTGTGCTGGAATAAACCCATATCGTCGTCTTCAAAAATTCGCAGCCTTTGCAACCTCCGTTCACGCAGCTTGTTTTTGGGCAGCATACCAGACACTGCTTGCCGGATTATCTGCCAACAGCATGAGCTCAATGGATGAGAGCCCGATAGTCGCAAGACACACCTCGTCTGGTTTTCGAAGCATCATATCCTTATACTGTATCTCTTTTAATCCACCCGGAAACATTGTGTGATGTCGGTAGACGAGCTGCTGTGACTTATTCCCTGTTACCTTGATCTTTCGTGCATTCGTCACAACAACATAGTCCCCGCAGTCCGCTGCCCACGAAAGAGTTGATCATGCCGCGCGAGGTAGATTTAACATGGTACACACCACTTGGGTCAAAAATTGGTTTGTGTTTGCCCATGAGTACAATTGCAATGCGCTCCGCTAGCTTTCCTAGAATCCTGTCTGAAGCGTCGGCGTGGTGCCATACTCTGGCGTACGCTAGAGCAGTCTGTCAACTTTCATTGAGTATAGTAAGCATAGAGTACTCAGAATGAACTTACGTTGCCTACGACTTGAGACATTTCTCGCGAATTCGGATGAAAGGCCGGGACGATGTGGCGGACGGAGAGTGAGCAGACGCGTCAAGCGCTCATTCCGCGACTTGGCGTCTTCGACCTCCAGCTAAAGTGTGGCCACCGGTGCCTTCACCCCCGTAAAATGTCGGGGGAGTCTCCAAACCGTTCAAACTTGGTTGATATGTGGGTGCTATGATGGACGAATCATTTAGCTGCGACTAACAGACCACAGAACGTATCAACACCTCCATTCTATTCTCTCTGGTCACCAGGAAGGAACCACGCCAGAACAAGTTTCTGAATATCTCAAACCGCGTGTTTCAAAGCTTGGAAATGTCTCTACGCCGTTTGGAAAGCCAAACGGCGCGTCCAAAAAAGAGGTCGACTCCGGATCTGTGACACTGCGAGATGGGGTTGTCCTTCGCGTTGAACCTGCCGACAAAGAATGCGTCTTCGCCATCAGCTCCCACTTCCAAATTGACGAGGTTGAGGCTCTCATTCTTCTTCGGTCCTTTCTATACAATGAAGGACTTCCAGAGCGTGCGGGCACCGGAGAAAATGCCAGCCTAGTAGAGGAACTTGTCGAGGCTATCACCCCGTTCTACTATTCCGAACGACTGTTCGTTCTGCGCGCGCTCATTCCTCTCTTCCGCGCCAACGAGAACGCGAATGACCCGGCATATGCGGCCACTACGGAGTTCCTCCCCCAAATCCTCTCTGATGGCACAGCGTTCGCCAACACCCTACTCAAGGAGTATGTGCATAAAACTAAAGCCACCCTCCCGGAACAGGTGAGCGCGGACCCACGAAAGGGTGCCGCATGGGCCCGTCAGAACGCGAAGGAGCAGCTCGTGTTACTCGAAGTTTTGTTCTGGACGATGTGGAGCTACGTGCCCTGTGATGGGCCATTAGTGGTTCATATATTCGAAACCGCTTACGAGACTAATCTTGGGTCAGTCCAGGAGATTTCCTCGCTATTACTGGATGACGAAGGCATGCAGCTCCAGCGTGACTGCGCAGCCCTCTGGATTCTGCTTACCATTGAGGTACTCGAGCTGGAAAGGGCAGCCGAACCAGGAGGCATAGAGTTGTCTATGGACACAAATATTTACTGGGCCTCTCCGGAATCGCTGAAGAAGATCCACGAGCTTATAATGTCGCACACAGACAGCCACTACGCGTGTGCATTCATTGCATGGGCATTCTTATTATCTCGATTGGTACAAGTCGCCTCAGACATGGAGGAGCTTCCGGAGGCATACCGTAGCTTCGTGGAATCGCTTGTGCCGCAACCCGGACGATCAACATATTCCAAAGATCGGGAGCCGACTCATGTATTGATGGCTAGGACGTGCTTAGACCCAGACGCTGGATTGTTCAAATTGATGTTCAACCTTTTAACCAGTTCGCCGATCTTCGTGACCGCAGTTGCCTGGAAGACCGCTTCAACGCTGACAGACCCGAATGCCGTGGCGTATCGCTCGGTACTCAAAGGTATGACTCCTCGCTATTGCCTAACAGAAGCAAGCTCAATTGGACTTCACAGGCCTCGTGATTGCAGTCGTCGAACTTGTTCCTGTCGAGCTTATCCCTGACTTTGATTCCCTCGTCGAAGTTTGGATCGCATTGTTTGGCAGGAGCGAAAGCAAGTCCGTGGCGGGCATATGTAGACAATACTGGCAATCTGACTGGTCACAGGGTGTCGCTCGCCGCGCAATCTTCGATGTCGCACGTTCGAGGTTTCCTGTTCAGGTCAGGCCTCTTGTCAGACTGTTGCGCGCTATGAGCGCTACGGGATTTTTGGACACCGACGAGCTCTCTACTGCCGATCACGCCAACGAGGGCCAGGGTCTTGACGAAGATCGCGAGATATGTGCCCGACATGTCTTCTACTACCTCGATCAATTGCCCACATACACGCAAGTCATTTCAGCTAGCACATGTACAGGAGCACATGCACTGTATGAGAAAATACCAGAGCGGCACGGATCCTCCTCCATGGGGGCTGGCTTGGTCTATGCCAATATGCGACCAGTAAAGCTACCAGGTGGCACGACACTTCCAGCAAAATCCATTGGTCGTCTACTCAGTGGAGATGGCGCCGATTTACTCGTGGTCTCGTGGCAACTTGAGCATTCCGGGTGGAAGGTTTTGCTGGAAATTTTGACAGACTATGTCAATCGCAGGTGCATGCACCCTGGTTCCGGCGGATCTTATCAGAGCATCTCCTTCGCACAGCGTGGATTGCACCGACCGCTTTCACTCAAATTGGAGGATATCGGAGTTGAAATGGACACCAATGGAGATGAGACTACTGTAGTGCACATTCTCGACCTCATGCGCAGCGTTGTGCAGGACAACCCTCTACTGGCGGAGCAATTACTGGAGACCTTGGAGAATGGTGACCCAGTTGTTGCCCACACTATGGTTGAGGCGCAGCCCCCAGATCTCGTTCAGTTGGCCACCATGATCCTGGAGGAAGCGCTCACCCGATATTCTGCTCAACCAAAGGTGACTTTGCGAACCCCTTTGATCACTTCAGCGATGAGTGTCCTGTCTGCGCTGGTCGCGCTTCCCAAGTACTCCAATCGCGTGTGGCTCTACATGCGGTCAACGGCGTCGTTGTTCGGGTCTGAAAAAAGCGTCGGGGGTGCCTCTACTGTTCTTGCTGCTGAGCGTCTGACCGGTCATTACACGATGACGTTGGCACTCTTGCATCTGGTCCAGCAGCTTTTTCATGAGGCGTCCTCCTCTGTCCTGGCTGTCCTCCAGCATACACCCCGCTTGCAGCAGGTCAAAGAGGAAGTCTTATTGCGCGCTGCGCGCTTCGTACATGCGGAAATATGGGTTGAGCACATGGGTTGGAAATATGTCCAGTTAGGTGATCGTTTCGAGATCGCCAAGCGGGTCTCCTCATTCTACACAGAGATCTTTCAGCATTCGCCGCCTACATTGAAGGATGGTCCATTCGTGACGCTGAGTCAGACTATATCAGATGCGTTTCTCTTTAAAGCGACGACATCGACTATCACACCCCTCGTGTCCTCCTTGACATCTGGAGGAACAGTGCTAGGAATGCTGTATGCTTCGCGCCGGTTTGGTGACGCCAGGCGCTTGATATATCTCATGGAATCCCAGCTGTGTCTGACCCGGCTCCTCCTCAATTTCAAGCTGTCTACGAGCAAATCCAGCAATCCTTGTCTTCTAGAGCAGACTCTATGTGCTAAAGTCGGTGGTAGCACCGCATCATTCGACAGAGGTCCATCTAGGGTAGACCCAATAGACGCTCTCGCTCGCTATGCAAAGGAAAGGAGTATGGGTGCGCTGGTTCCCGTGGAGGCCATGCGAGTACTATTTGCCTTGTGCTCTTCATTGTCGACGACTCAAGGATCCCCTCCTACCATTATCGGTCATCTCTCAGATCCGGAGGCCACCGTCCTGTCATTGGTTCGCATAGTGCAACATCCTTACGATGACCCTCAGCTGCGTAATGCGGTGTGGAACTTCATCACTCTAGCGATCGACAAAGAACCTGCGCTTGCGAGGTTATTCGTCACTGGTAATTTCCGAGGCCCGGTGTCATCAGTCAAAGGCAAGGAGAAAGACTTAGGAGAACCCTCCAAAACAGTGAGTGCCGTCGGTGTCGCTTGCGATATGCTTCAGCAATGGAGGGAATTGCTTGAGCTCAATCCCCAGCTGTTGGCGTCACTATTACGCTTCCTGGACGTGGTCTGGCAACACATTCATGAGCATAAGCAGTATCTGGACCCATTACGGACTGACTCACCTCTATTCACACATCTGGCCGCTATCGCTAACGAAGAGCTTGGACCGGCTCCGGACTATAAGACGCAGGACTATGTCGAGCTTGACGGGGGCCGCCGTTCTGATCTTCACGAAGCCGTGTCAGCACACGCGTATCGGACCATCGTCAAATCTCATGCGCTACACATCATCGCTGTGGACATTCAGATGCACCTTCAGGGATCTGTAGACACTTGTGCGAAGAAACCTCCTAGCTACAGTGCTCTGGAGGAGACGCTGAAATCGGAGGACCAACTTACAGAACTCGTCTCAGAAGCTGCTGCGAGTTCTTATGATCCTACTTTACATGATGAGCTTGCAGACCAAATCAAGATTGACTTCCCGACGCTAGTAATGGAGTATGTGCAGATTCAAGACCCGATGGTAGAACGCGAATACGGGGACAGCTTTTCCTATTCAACCGCATTGCTTCAACTTCGTCTACAGCCATATGCAAACGGCGACCTTGTTCTCGATGCGGTCGAAGCGCACAAGCGGGTAACGTCAATCAACCTCAATTTATCCCTTACCCAAGTACAGACAACCCTCACAGAATCGTTGCAATTCCTCTTGCTCCAAGTAGTCCCATATCTCCGCGGGAGCGCATCTGTTAGATCCACATTCCTTGCCCTGGCTGCTTCCATATCTGGAAATCTTTCTGCAGAAAAGCGATCAGGAGACATGATGTCCAGTGTCCATCGCGCAAGGCTGTCTCTCTTGCTTGCTCTACTAGAGGTCGCTTGGTTTTCTACAGATGAAAAGGGGAGTGACGTGGAGCATTTCATCGCGTTGGTACAGAATGTCCGGGGCGTCATTTTGAACGGCTCACTCCCACCTGCGAAGTCTCTCCGAGGCCAGCTGACCGTCCCGTTCCATCGCCAGCTCTTGCAAGTTATTTACTTCTGTGTGCGGCATTGTAGAAGTCTCAGACGACGTCCAAAGGCCCTCAATGCTGAGCAAAGGTTGTCTATCACAGCATTACTCAACGCAACCCTTGCTCTCGTTATCGAAAATCTCCGCATCGCCTTTGAATCAGCAAGTGCTCGATTGGATGTAGACCTGGACCAAGACATGGAGCTCATGGTGGCCGTCTTCGAGCAATGTACGCGCGTGGACATCAATGAGTCTCCCATGACTTGGTTGGCGCGTTGCCAAGAGACTGATGTCATTCGAACCAGCCTCCAACTGTTCAGTCGAATGGATCTGGTAGGCCTCTCGGACATTTCCTTGCTCAGGTCGCGCAAAAAACCGCTATATGCAACCCACGTCCTCATGTTCCACATCGCGCTGGCAAGCGTTCGTTCATCCGCGGAACGACTTGCGAGCGAAGGGATCCTCGCAGCGTACAGCGAGAACGGGCTGACGCGCGCTATCAGGCAAGGATTGATCGAAACCGCTTTACCGGAGCTTCCTGGCGAACGCAGTCCAGCACACCGAGCGTATTGCTCAATGCTAGCGGTTGGCGC